TTCGAGACAGGGTTCCAATGACCGCCTATCATACTAGGTTAATGATAAACATCGCTCTAATATTTAGCAGCGTGGAGTACTCCACGTACTAGATCCAGGCTAGACAACCTTCCACGCGTTCCGTTTTAGGATCGTGGAGAGACGTAGGATTACTACCACAACCTACTCTATCACACTTTATAGTTCCCGCGGGAAGCCAGATCTACGATCCTTTGATGATGATCTCTCTCGTTGATTAGTTTTCATAGCTTTCTAATCTCTCTCATAACTTTCATTCTCTCAAACTCAAAACACTCGAAAGATCTTTACACTAGCTTTTAGCGTAGTGCATTTTGTTAACAAACACAATAGCTCTCAGCTACCCTCAACCTATTCCTTCACCATGAAGATGGCTCAAGGAAAGCATGCGTTCCGCAACTTCGAGAAACAGTTGCGTGACAAACCATTCTTCCTCTCGTCGACAATGACGAAGAAAACGAGATCGACAATACCGTGCACCACTTGCAAACTTCGCAACAATGTTGCAAGCGCAAATCAAGAAACTCTGACAATGAGGACAACCCCTCTATCAATTTCAATCACTTGGATGGAGAACCTCTATCTGAGGATTAGGCCAGGATGATGACTCAACGGAACCCTGTTCCGATTTCTCATACCAAAGTGATGAAGATATCTCACTAACTAGTAAACAAGAATTGTTTGCAATGATGAACTCTACGGCAAATTAGATGATTGCCTAGAAGCTGCTCAACTAGACTCTGATGATTATTTAGCATCGTTACCTCGTCCGTGGCCAACACCTCTTAAACGTCGCAAACAAGAACCTCAAACCCATCGTTTTTGTTAGATTTAACAAGCGAGAAAAAGGGAAACCAAACCCGTTACACTCCGTTGCTTGCTGGATACAGGAGCATCCGGAACCTTGATTGCTCAACTCATGCTAAGAAATACGCATGAAGGATCTTGGGGGCGTCCAAACGATGTGGACTACCCCTGCAGGAGAATTAAACACCAGCACGAAGTGCAAAGGTGCATTCATGATTCCTGAATTCCACGAAGATAGAATTACGGTGGGTGACTATTCACGAGAGACTCAGTCATGAGTCGAACTCAAACCCTATCTAGGATCGAGTCGCGAATAAGGCTAAGAGCCGTGTATTGCAGTTGTTCCTTGAAGAGCAGGGGATCGTTGTGAAGGACAACATCCTCATGCAGGACAACAAAAGCACGATCATTCTTGCAGAGAATGGCAAAGGCAGTTCGGGCAAAAGAACTCGGGCCATCAACATTCGTTTCTTTTTTATTCACGACCAGATTGGAAAAGGCAACCTTAGAGTTGTATATTGCCCAACTTTGGAGATGCGTGGAGATTTTTTCACGAAGCCCCTTCACGGCAGACTCTTTCATGAGCACAGGGCTTTCATCATGGGGCATCCACCCCTTGTTTGATTTCCTAAATTATTTATTCGTTCCACGGTAGCCACTTAGGGCACCGTGCAGGAGTGTGTTGGAGGAAATATACCTGACACCTCTTTACTATTGACTCGTGTATTAATCGTCTAGTCCGGTTCGCATGGAAATTCATCATGCAAGGAACCAAGGGAGTTTTAGGTCTAAAGTGTTGCGGGGGTCCTTATATCCAATTCAATCACAAGAATTGCTATGCACCACCAGAAAATCCTCACTTTTGCTTTTCAGCTTAATCTAAAACCAAATTACTCCCCAATAAGCTGCAGTATTACTAGCAAACAACACTGAGTGTGTTCGGTACTGTTGCCTCTGTCTCCGATCGATGAACTCTACGATAGCTGGCTACGATGGCTGGATTGACAATGTTCGGTTGTGCATGTATTCGTCATAAGGATCCAATGCGAGGTACCGGTAACCGTGGCGAGCAAAGCCGAAGTTTCGGTACTCTTGCCACTGTCGTCGATGTAGCTATACCGCAGCAGGCTACAATGGCTGGATTCATAATGTTCGGTTGTGTATGTATTCGTCATAAGGATCCAATGCAAGATATCGGCAACGGAGTGTAGCCAGCAAAGCGGAACCTGAGTGTGTTCGGTACTGTCGCCGATGTAACGGTAGCCGGCTACAATGGCTGGATTAACTATATTTGGTTTTGTGCATGTATTCGTCATAACGATCCAATGCGAGGTAACCGAGTGCAGGGAGCAAAGCCAAACCTGCGTGTGTTCGGTACTGTTGCCACTGTCACTGATCGATGAACTCTGCGGTAGCTAGCTGCAATGGCTGGATTGACAATGTTCGGTTGTGTATGTATTCGTCATAAGGATCCAATGCAAGGTACTGGTAACGGAGTTTAGCCAGTAAAGCGGAATCTGAGTGAGTTTGGTACTGTTGCCACTGTCACGGATCGATGTAACTCTCTGCCTACGGTATCGCAGCTGGCTACAATGGCTGGATTGCATGTATTCGTCATATGGATCCAAGTAGCGAGCAAACTGAGGAAACAGGAGACGGACGCTGAAAAAAGCCGAATACTGTACGTACACAAATGCCCTGATCTTTCAGGGTTAAAGCTATTAATCTAAAAGTGTTTTTACCGCATCTACCTAGATTCAATAATCGTACATGTATGATAGGTGTGGGTTCAATTCCTTCCTTCCCATGAGCTCTTGAGGAGACTCCACACCAGAAGCTACGTACTGTACACCTATCAGCCTTCAGACATGAGATATTCACTGAATTCAACTGCAGACTTGGCCAGCAAGTAAAAGTAGTAGTAACTCAACGATATAGATTCTTATCAGCTACTGTGACTTGGCCAGCAAGTAAGTGAACAGCCAGTGACCTGCATTGAATCATAAAACACCCCAAAAAAGTAACCTGGGTAAAAAGCTGCAGGGACACATCTATGATGCAAAAGAAACAGCAACTGGAAATTCAACTCCTGCTACTAGGCTATGGTAGTCACAGGTCTTTTCCAACACCTCGGTAGCTCGGAGATCTACGAGCCTTTGACTTGGTGATGCACAAGTACTCCGTACATGTAGTACTGTAGCCAGAAAAACAAAGTGCCGGCAGGATTGCTGTGGTACCATACCCTGGATCCAAGCTGGCAAGGTCCAATGCCTCCAAAGTACAGTCAACACTCACTGAGGTTCCACCCCCCAGCATTAAGAAAAAACGGAACTTTATAGAGAGTCGGAACTTTGTATGGTTGGAGCCCATATCAGCCCGTTCGTGGTATCGGAGCCTATTTGGGGTGGTTTCTGTTGACTTCTCTAGTTGTTGGGTGTAAAAGGAGATACGCGGTGTTGGGGTGGAACTGCTTTGCTCCTATGTATGGTGTCTGTATTGTGTTGGACCAGTAGAACATGCTATGTGGCTAGTTTCGAGCTCTCTAAGATGCCTGTCATGAAAGATAGATGAAGAAACTTCATATATGTATAAATGAACAATCTGAATGCTGGATCCTAATTGGCAGCACTGTCTCGAACTGCCACAAAGCAGATTCACTTGTCAGTCATGAGAACTAGTGACTCAGGGGGGCAGCCCTGAAAAAGAGGAACTTTGTAGAGTAATGGAACTTAAGAAAACGGAACTTAAGTGAGTGCTGACTGTAATGGGCCGTGGCGACACCCTCCACCATCCACCATCAGGGTAAAGCTCCAGACAAAATTCACTGAGCTGAGGCAGACCTAGTAGCTAGCAAAGACCAATTGTTAGCGGCGGCCACCAGGTTCGAACCATCTGCGTGAGGTCACTGGTCTTGCCGATCATGTCCCCCTTGGTTGGTCACTTACTTTTAAACGTCGACCACTTCTCAGCAGTCAGAAGAGGTGACATCTTGTTTTCTTCGCAAAAGACGTCAGCGTTCTCTCGGAGGGAGCGATGGGAAGAATCCAATCAAAAGAGCCCCTCCATCTCTCTCAATGGAAGGTTTTGGAGTGCGTTGACACAAAAAAAAGCACCTTCCTCTTCTTGTTGCAACTTGAGAATAAGTAGCACATCCACCGGACCTCGATACCCTTTATCCCTCACTCTCACTCTTACTTTTCATCTCAGCCATGGCCTCCGATCCCAACGCTAACGATGGCTGCAACAGTCCTATGCAGCTCGGCATGACAGGTCAGTTCTTGCCGGAGGATATCCAAGAACTTTTGGGGGTTATGGGTGATGGGAATTCCGACCATGGTGGCGAAGTAATAACGTCGACGGATAATGTAGCGGCCTCCTTTGCGCAGGCTGGGAATAGTCTTTCGGAGGAACGGCGGAACTCCTCGTCCGCTTCCTCCAACCAACCAGGGGAGGTATCTGGAGCCTCGTTTCCTGGCGAGGAAGCCAAGGCTCAAGCTCGGTCGGAACGAAAGAGAAGTCGAGAAAAGCAACGTCGTAGTGATGTTAACAAACAGTTTGCTGACTTGACTCAGTTATTGCAAAAGATTGATGCTGAGGACGTTAGCGAAGAAGATGCCAAGAATGGTACAACGTCGGCCAGTCGAGTTACGTTCAATCCTTCGAACCGTGTCGATCTGATTGGCAGGACGATTGTCCTGTTGGAGCGTTTGCATGAGGCTAACAAGAGAAGAAAAACGGAGATTAATAGTGTACGGCAGCAGCTGGACGAAGCTAAGAAGGCTGGCGAGGACACGGCTGCCAAGCTCAAGGAGGCTCTGTTGGCTCCTCCTGGTCAACCTATGAACAAGGTATGTTTCTTTTACCGTGACGGCTGTCAATGCCTAGTAGTAGGCTAGCTAGTGTTGGTTGCTTGCTTTTTCTGATAATTGATTGGTATCCTGACCCTCACCCTCGTTTAAAATTGTGTTTCATTCAAAGCAATTCATGATGATGGTACCCATGATGATGTCTTCAGACGGAACTGGGGTAACACAAGGTGTTCCCATGATGAACCCGTACATGCATCAGGCAGCTATGCCTCAAGCCGCCATGCCACAGGCTTTCTGTCCCATGCCAGCACATCCAATGGCGGCTCCTGTGGCGGCGGCCCCTCAAGCAGCTCCACCTGCAGCTTCCTCTTCTTCGGCCCACGCTCCCGCTGCAGCACCACCTGTGGGTACGCAAGCTGGAACGGCAATCGCTCCTGCCGCTACCTCGCAACAACAGGGACAAGCACCGCAGCATCAGCAAATGCCACCAAATCACCCGGCGTACTCGTACATGATGCCCGCCCCCATGGCTGGTGGGGGATACATGATGCCCATGGCCAATCCAATGGGGGCAGGCCAGCCTATGGCGATGATGGGTCACCCACAGGGAATGCATGCCCTACCAACCCCCGATCCTCAGAATGGGCGTCAAGATCAGAAGGATTCATCTCCAGCTTCTTCTGGAAACCTCGCGCATTGTGCGTAATATCGGGATGTGGATTGGAAATTGTTGCAGTGGCGCTATCCATGCGAGATAGTGCATGCATCCAGTTTGGCTGCACGTATAGGTCTTTTGTCCCACCGTTTCATCGACAACGTTGGATTATACTGGCAGCTTTGAAGGGGTGGGGAGAGGGGCATTTGGTTAAAATGCTCTTGTTGATGATTGCTTCGTGGTGAGATGATGTGCAAAATAATTAGCTTCTAGACTTTGTCGTCGCATTAGAGAGTCCTGGCGGGTCGTTGCTTGCTAGCTAGCTAGTCGGTGGGAGATGTTCTAACTGGCTAGCTAGTTAGCCTAACTACAGCTATCTAGCCAGAGGCGACAAGCAAGGCTCCTACATGTACAGAAGACGCCGAGTTGCTGGAATGTGGTTCAAGGCCCAGCCGGCCCACCAATAAAGCAGTGCCACCTGAACGATTTGGTTGCGACGATGACGTCAGTGCAATCGATGATCATTTTCATCGCCCCGCAGATCAAAGAGGTGAACAATGGCAACCTGGTACCAGTTGAACTGTTGAACTGCTCTTCAAGCTACCACTGTGGAAGTACTTCAACTGCAGCAACAACACAAACGGTTTCTGGAGGAGGGAAAGCATTGAGAAGCAGAAATGAAAAAGATCATCGGTTTCGTTCTTGCTTTCTCCACTGTCCCTTCATTGGCTTTCGGGAACTGGTTTGCCACTCAGAAATCATCTGGCCGATCACCCACCCGAGCGTCCGCATTGGGGGATCCAATATGTGAATATTATCAAGTGGATGTGCCAACCTCACAAGCAGGCCCACCCAAACAAACCATAAGCGTGGAAGATTTGACTCCCATGTTGAAGGAACTGCTGAAGGACAGCGGTATGAAGAATGGTGTGATCAATGTGATTAGTAGACACACAACAACTGCCGTTACTATCAATGAACGAGAAAGCCGTCTTGCAAGAGATCTAGAAGAAACATTTTTGGCCATGGTACCTGCCGATGAGCGATCGCATCCTGCCGTCGCCAAGGAAGGAAATCGATATCAGCACAACGACATTGATCAAAGACCAGAATCTGAGGAGGAGGCCCAAAGGTGCAGAGACAATGCATGGGATATTGACAATCCCAAGGAATTGCAAAGATGGCGAGACCAAGAGCCCATTAATGCACACTCACATCTTATATCAATGCTCTTGGGTAGCTCCGAAGGGATACCCGTAATGGATGGACGGATGGTGATAGGCCAGTGGCAGAGTGTACTGCTGGTAGATCTTGATGGCCCTCGAGATAGGACTGTGGGTGTTCAGCTCTTAGGATACCTTTCTAAAGAATGAAGCTGAAATAGAAAATGTATGCTACATGTGACGAATACATCTGAATTTCATAATGTAAGCTAGCTAGACACTAAGGTTGAGTGACAGACCCAAGTTCCCTGGGCCAACACCATTTGTGAAGCCATTGGGTCCCAGCATGGGCGCATACTCATCTGGAACGCAACTCAACTGGACGTTGGCCCGTCCTTGCTGATAGCTTCCTTGCAAATTGAAGTTGGTGTCTGGAATTCTGTAAGCAACACCAACATTCCAAGGAGAGGACTGGCCATAAAGCTGCATTTGAAGTTGTTGGATCATTTGCTGTTGCGACTGAAGGAACTGCATAGCTGTCTGTTGCTGCTGGGCACTCTTCTGTTGAATCTCTGATACCTTCTTTCCGGACTCTGCAATATTGTTCATGACAGCCTGAAGGAAGGAACGCTCGGCGGTATAGCTCCAGTCGGACCCTTCTCGGGTTGCATCTTCTGCTTCTCGTGCAAATTGAGCATCAGCCTGTAACATGGCTTCATAATCTGAGGAACCCGAAGTTTTGGTGTCGGTACGATACTTTTGCAGAGCGTTTTCACGCAACAGAGCCAACTGGCGGAGATAGAGTACCTGAAGTTGAGAATCTACAGCAGCAGCGATTTCGTCCACACCGCGGTCATAGGCTGTAGACGATGAATCTTCCTCATCCGCATTGCTGGTAAAGTCTTCCAGAGCCGCGGCCAGGATTGCTGAACTCTTTGAGCCAAGCTCTGGAACCACGGATCCACCGTCAACGATTGTGGCTCGTAGATCTTCAATCTTTTGTGGAAGAATTCACAGGAAATCAATGAGACAAGATCAATTCATTTCCGGTGAAACTAAGACAATATTTCTGAACAAATAACCCACCTTCTCCACTGCCCCCGCAATAGCTGCCGACTTGGCGCTGTCCAAGGACCCTCCTGCCGGAACGGAAAATGCCGATGATTTGAAAGCTGCACTGTGCGCCCCCCATGGTCTTCCAGCCGACACGGAGGCGATACTAGCTAAAATAACAACGTGGAGCCTCATTTTCTCTATATATGCAGTTAGTTGTGCATCTGATTGACTGATGGCCTCTGATCTCTGATCTCATGTTGGTGGGTGTGGTTGGCATCACAAAAGCGGCCACCACTTCCAGGTGGCACCATCCAACCACAAGATACCAGGAGTCGAGTCCCGAGTAAAGCGCGATTGCGTAATATTCGACTGCAAAATCGACTGATTATTCGATTGAAGATCGATTTAGTCAAATAATCAAAAAATCATCGCACAAAAAGCAATTTCATACGACTGATAGCTAACGGTACCGTACAATGGGAACTCCGGAGTGGTCAGCAGCCTGGTACGATACAACGGAGACTTCCTCGTTTGTCAATCTTTGGTTGCCTGTATCGGTACATCTGCCAGGATGGAATTACTGGACCCATCGCAGGTACCGTACGTACGTCCAGAGGGGGATGAATGCTATAAGGTACCGTACCGTTGGCTGCATCAAAGCGGCGTCGGGCAAGCAAAAAGCTTGAGTGGAGCAAGCCAAGGCCCGACTCACCGTAATGAGCAAGTACGAGAACGCAGTGCTGACTGCAGTGTGATTGCCTCCAACTCCTGTCAAAGCCACGGTGCTGGTGGAGACATTGGCTGGGAACTTACTTGCTGGGCTATTGTGTACAGTAGCGTGCTCAGCGCCGCCAGCCAGCTTTGTTCCCACGAAACAAAGAAGGAGGCAACCTCATGCTAAGCCAAAGCGTCTCTCTCCCTGATGTTACCTGCCTCCTGGCTCGTGGGTCTGCCATTTTGCTTGGTAAGCCCCAACCTGGGCAAAACCTCCATCCGCCTTCACGATCATGTGGCCTTCTTTTAACTTTTATCTGCTGGCTTCGCTTCGGCCACATTGCCTTTTTCATAGGACCAACTTTGACTGTGTAGTTTTCTGTATGCAATTTATCGAAATGAATGTGTCTGAGAGACACTCAAATGACAATATTTTCCAATGAAAAAATAATTAGAAACCATGTGAACCAGTGCATCTTATTTTTGGCTTGATTATGATCTGCAAAATTACTATTTGAATTGAATAAATGTTCAAATAAAACAGACCATTTTATTGTTTTGGTAGTCTAGATTTGTTCCTTTGGTTTTTGTCTTTCCTTGTAAACCTTTTTAAACCATGCTTTCTATGAAATTCTAAAAATGGGAACTCTAACTGACCTTATTTAACATAACGCACCAGCCCTGCAGCAACGCTGACGGACGCTCCTCCACCCAAGAATGACTGAACCTGCGACCAGGCACATCGGATTTCAACGGCAACATAACAAGCCGACGAGGAAAAAACCGAAGACTTTTTTTGCATTGGCTGCACCTTGCACGACGGCACCGGATACGATACCCCACATATTAGCTTGCTCATCAGCGAGGAAGGCAACATCTTGACCATTCAAGTGTAGTCCTGCCTGAGAAAGAATTCATAACAGTTCTTTGTGAGAGGACTGCCGAGTTCATAGAGCAATAGTATTCAAAGCAGCATTTGTGGCGACAGGACCAATCCAAAAAGCCAATATCTTATTGCAATCGCTATCATTCAAACTCCAATAAACAACAAACACCATGTGCCCTCCATCCAAGCATCCGGAAGTGACCTTGTTCAAGCCCTCAACAAAGACCAGCTTTACAGTGGTTGGGACCGATGAGCCTCACTTTAGCCGAAGAAAGGAAATCCTCAAGAAGCATCCGGAGATTAAGCAGCTCTATGGGCCGGATATCCGCCTGTTGCCCAGTATCTTGGTCATTGTAACAGTGCAATTAGCTCTCAGCCTCTATGCTACCAAAATTCAAGATTGGAGACATTTCGTCTTCTTGGCCTATTCTGTGGGTGGAACTTTGACTCATTGGTTGAGCCTTGGCACCCATGAGCTGGCCCACAACCTCTGCTTCCACACCACGCTGTACAATGAAGTCTTGGCCATGATTGCCAACTGTGCACAGTCCATCCCCTCTTGTATCTCTTTCAAACGATACCACTTGGAACACCACTACAAGCAAGGAGAGAACATCACTGATGTAGATGTACCCACTGACTGGGAAGGCCGCTTCTTCAACAACACTTTCAAGAAGACAATCTTTGTGTTTCTTCAGCCAGCCTTCTACGCACTTCGGCCGATGTTTACCAACCCAAAGGCCCCCACGTGGAAGGAAGGGCTCAACTTTGCCGTTGTCTTGGGATTTGACGCGTTTTTGGCATATACCTTTGGCGGGAAGGCGCTGCTCTTCAACTTTGCTTCCACCCTACTTGGAATGGGATTGCACCCTGTTGCTGGACACTTCATCTCGGAGCACTACACCTTTGTAGCTGGACAAGAGACGTACTCGTACTACGGTCCTCTCAATTTGGTTTCTTTCAATGTCGGATACCACAATGAACACCATGATTTTCCAAAGATCTCGGGATTCCGCTTGCCGATGGTGAAAAAGATTGCGCCCGAGTACTACGAGGATTTGCATTCCTATAACTCGTGGCCCAAGGTCCTGTACGACTACATTACCCGTCCCGACATGAGTCCTTACAGCCGAATCAAGCGATTCCCAAAGGACCGAGCAGCACAGGAAGAAAAGTCGAAGGATGCATCAGATATGGCCATTTCGAGCTCTGGTTCGGAAGACTCGGAGGATGAAGGACCACAAAATTGTGCATCGGAAGGGAAGAAGACCAAGTAAGGGCAAATGTAGACGGTTTGTTGGCGCTTCTTGTGTGTTCTCGAGCAAACTTACTTGACATCGCAGCAGAAGCAAACAAAACAGATTGCTGTGCCGACACCCAAGCAATTATCCTGAGAGAGTTTGCGTGTGTGTTCTCTCTTGTGGTCTACATATTTATTGTGCTTGGAAAGCACCAGGCATATCATCTCTTTCTCAGTCTCTAAAGCAGCAAGTGCATTTGCTCTCTTTGAATGAATAAAACTATTTTCTCAATAACTGTGTACTCGGTGGTTGCTGTTTTTATTGCAGCCGCGCGGTAATACGATGACAGGATCGTACCGGTACACGCGTTGCACTTTTTGAGGATTTCGAAGGTTTGGAATGGTGCATCAGCCCCCTCGCCTGCAATAGTCCTCGTGTCACAGGGCTGAATGGCTGCTCCTCTGTTCTCTTTGATGTAGTGTTGCCCCTTGCTGCGCTTTTGGTGCTGATTTACGGTACGATACCGGTGCTTCCATCCGCTCAGATACCGGTAGTGGTGACCCGCTCGTGGAAGAGGTGTAGTAGTGGCAGGTACCTGCTCATCTTGAAATATCGGCGGTGGAATACGTCCCCATGGGACTGGGACAGCACAGCGAGTTGATCTAGCAAGCTCAACCAACCATAGAAGCAACCATTATAGCTTCGCACATCCTGTTTTCATGGAAAGAGTCCAGGATGTGATGTATGCTGGCTTGTCTGCTTGGTACATGTTACTACGCTGACAGAAGGTGCCGCCTATGCCCAAGACGGAGCGGCGTGTTACAACAAATGACAAAGTAATCCTTTGGAGATCGAATGCAAGCCCAACAGATCCTTTTCCCCTGCCGTTCACTTGCGGTAATCCTCGTGATCCTGATCGGTGTGAGCGGAACAAATGAATGAAGCTTCACCCGTCGAGATATGTCGGGACTTTTCCTTGGGAAAATGAACATTACGACTACTTGGTTGTTCGTAGCTGGCGTAATGGAAGCATAGAGTTTCTTTTATAAACTAACTTGATTTTCTAGTAGTAGCATTGCAGATACGTCCACTCACTCGAGACTATCCGCGGCAATCTTCATCACAGGAACGTCTACTCCTGGCTCTTCGTCACCCCACGAAACTTCGTTGGCTTTCTCCCAAGCTTCTTGGAAGACCTTTTGAATCTCGGACTTGGCATCTTCGACAGAGATGACAGGGATTCGGAACCCAATCCTGAATTCATCGGTTTGCAGTTTGTTTCGTCGTGTGCCCATTGGACTAGTGACACGCAGATCCATGCCGAGCCTGTCCACGTTGGTGAGGCGTACTTTTTGTGCTTCTGGAAGACCCAGAATATGTTGGGCGGTCCACATGAGATCTTCGGCATGATCTCGGTTGATTTTTTGCGCAATTTCCGCTGCCTCCTTGGCGAGGATATCGGGATTGGCAGCCTTGTATTGTTCTACATCCACCCACTTGGACGACACACCAAAACCTCCGACGAAGTAAATCATTTTGGGCTCCAAGCGGTAGAAAGCAAACTTGGGCGAGTCCATAACCTGATCCGCATAAGTATGAGTCAAGGAATATCTCATTCGGATGGCATCCATTTCGGGATCGGTGGCGGGGATTTTCTTGACCACTCCCGTCAGTGAGCAACGAGATGTGTCCTGTAGTCCAGTCTTTCGAGAACTTCCAGCTGTTTGACTACTGAGTTGTGTAAAGAGTGAGACCATTGGTTCTGCTCCATCATCATCAGATGCTGCTTTTTCAATGTTGATGGTGTGCATGCTCATTTCATTCATCAGAAGAACAGGGAGACCATTGTCGTCTAGCACGTAATCCACAAAACTTCCAAATGGAGATCCTTGAATTCCCTCGTGAGTTGAAACCGTGCATAAGGTACCAGAAGTACAAACACTCGTGACAGTTCGGGCCTTTTCAAAGACGTTCAATCGAATCTCGGTAATTCCATTGGTGGATGTTTCCTTGTCGCTGTCTTCCTCCGAAGTTGCCGCCTCTCCGTTTACAGGGGCAGACGCCAAAGAAGCAGCCAAAAGTGGATGCCTACCTTTAATTTTAGAAGATCAACAAGAAGAACAAGACCCCAAGTTAGAAAAGGTTTCAGATTCCCGTATCACAGCTCTTCAATGAAAACACAACTCACTTGGGCTCTGGTGACTGGGAACAAAACATTGTGCTGATTGCAGACTCCCGACGAGGGCCGCCAATAGAATTAGAACATCTTTAGATAATCTCATCATCTTGTACTGAATGTGAAACAACTTTAGTAAGGATATCTTCTTCTTTGTAGCGATAGTGAACGGTTTCGGCGGCTCCCCTTGATTGTTCCCCTACAGAACAGTGGCTCCTTCCTTCCTGTTGGAACGTTGCAACCTCTTCGATCGAGTGATGTTGGTTGCGTTTGTGGCGTTTCTCGAGCCTTCAACTTCAACTTTCACGTTTTAACCTGGTCCTTAACAATATGTCTGTCCACTGAGCAACATGTGGAGGCTGCACACTGAACAAAGGCCAAACCGTGAGGATCTTCTTGTCACTTGTCATTGTTTTTCTTGTCGAAGCCATCAATGAACTCAATATTCCACCTGCAAGATGATGTCGCAACATGCTGGAGAGAATACAGTGCAGAGACGGGCTACCTTTGGCTCTATCATGGTCGCACGATCAAATCATGAAAGGCCATCCGGTAGGAATATTCTTTGATTTTGTGTTGCCTTGTTTTGCTTTTTGTGTTGTGATGGGATGGACAGTGATGATGGACACCACTCCGAAATCAATCTCACCTTGATGCATCTCTTTCTTCTACCTTTGTACGCATATACGTGTACTTCCTCACGCAAAGAAATGGAGATACAGCTTCGATCTCACTCTCAGTTGCTTCGGGTGGTGGAGAGACAGAGTCTCAACGGTGCGCACTTTATGATTCAAAAGAGTGAAACTATTCCTGTCTGTGTGGCTGCCAGGGTTTACTATCCAGAGGATGTACAACGTTTCCACGAAGAACTCGCCAATCGAACAAAGCCTTCCTCCATTGAAGACATCAACCGACTGTTGGAACAATTGCACGGAGTAACAACAGACAGCAGCCAACAGGACAATGACATTGACGGTCTCCAAGCGTTTCGAGACAAATTCCAATACACAGTCGTCATTTGTGTCTTGCCGCCGCAAGGATGCAAGGAGTATTTTGATCGTCCAGACTCTTTTGTACACCGAGTGCAGCAAATCATGGGCAATGGGCGGTCTCAACATGGCAAGGTGAGTTCACACACAGTTGCGAGCGATGGCAATGGTTCATGTTCGTTTGTTTCGTTTCGTTGACCTCGTTTGATCCAATTCTGAAACACCCTGCTTGCGTCGAACTCAGTCTTCCTGGGTTCATTTTATCACGGACAGTGCAGCTGCTTTGACCACGCTTGTTTCAATTGTGGAATCATTGCATCCTCGAAAACGAGAAGCCAAGAAGGAATACTTTTCCAGAGTCCGTCGAGGCTACTTTGTCCCTGACCACAACGGCAACATTGAAGAACCAAACGATGCTGCCAAGACTGCTGCTCTTGCGCTGACAGGATGGGCTCGAGAGCACGGTGTACCTCAGGGAGAAGAGCGGATTTTGATGAGCTTGCTGGACAATCTTGGAGCAATTGCAACAGCAAACGAAGCAGAGCTGGAATCAATACCAATCGAAAAAAAGACAAGACTACTTCTACACGAATTCTTTGGGTCTGATGGCATTGTTGACGTTCGAAGAAACCTTGGTCAAGAGTTTGTGAACGCGCCAAGTAACAACACTGGGATTCCTTCTGTCATTGAGATGGGTGGGGGGATGGCCAGTGGGCGCCCCACACCCCAACTGCCTCCCAACCCAAACGCAAATCCAATGCAACGCACTTTCCCCCATCAAAACACTTTTCCCGACACTACGGTTGCGGTCTTGGGCAACCCACTCCAGCGGCGAATGAGCACCTTTAGTACTGTCTCCAACATGCATCCAGGGAATCGTGGCGGTCACGCGGCTGGTTTCGGCATCGATGGCCATGGCCATTCGTATCTCCAAAATGAGGCACCCAGGGGCTTTACGCGGGGGGTGGCAATGGCTAGGCCTAAACAAGATCCATACCATTCCATGCCGGGAGGGATCCATCAGGCTCACAACCACAACCACATGCCTCCTCCCATGATGGGGACTCAACAATCTGTTCCACAGCGTCGCCCCTCCCATGGCAACCCAGGTTACACTCAAAACCCTGCAAGCTACAATGGAAATGCTGGATTTCAAGCGGGTCATCATCAGGGATTCGGGTTGTATGCGTCTCAGTATGCACATGCCGGTATGACTGGCATGCACCACCAAGGAGCCCCTCCTTATGCTTACAATCAGCAGCAGCACTTCCCACAGCCAGCAATGATGCACCATCAGCAGCAGCAGCAGTATCACCAGCAACATCACCAGCAATTCCATCAGCCAGCAATGACGCATTCCCACCGACATCTACCAGCACACAACAACAATAGTTTCCCACCAGCTCCCAGATACTAGATTGCACGTGCGGTGATGAAAGGGGAAATTTTTGTTCTATTCCTCAATCCAAATGCTTGAACCCTCCAACATGGCTAGCTAGCTAGGTAAAATTCCTGTAGTAACGACAGTAGTCGCAACGTTGCTTCCGCGCCACTGCAATGCCCATATTACCGGTACCTCCTTGGATATTCAGCCCATGTCCTGACCTGTGGATGGCTACCAAATACCTTCTAGAGTAGGCTGACTTCGGTTCTGTTTGTTCGGTTATTTTCCTGCCTTCTTCGGTCACATTGTTTCGGTTCCTCGCAAGAGTGACGTGGCGAGCAAAACAAAGATGAGGGCTTGTTGAACATCGGAAGCAGGAGGATTACGGTAGACTACATGCATATTTTCTATTCTTATTAGACTATTGTTTACCATGCACACTGAGTTCTATCCATTTTCCCTCTTCACTATGTCGAAGTCGCTACTGTTGAAAATTGCGCTTGTCTCTTTGGTCTGCCTGAGCACGGTGACTGCCTTTGTCCAAACGACCGCTCCTTTGAAGTCTTTTTCGCCCACCCAGAAGACCTCCTTCCAACCATGGCAACCTGCATCGTCTACGCAACTGTGGGACAGGCGGGATGATGATGATGTTCAAGTGAATCTTATCCCTGATGTTGACGCTGTGACCCTAACAGCAATCGGATTTGGCTTGATCGCATTCAACTTTTTGGTGTTGGCAAATGCTGGCGACGGGGGCATCGCAGGGGTTCTTGCAACTATCATCAACACCCTCAACCAATAAACAACATGAAGACCAACGGTGTCTTCAATTTAATGGTGGTGACATTGAAAGATGCTTCTGAGACACTATATATCCCGGAAAGGCATAATTGAGTGATGAAGGTTTTCAGCTCGCTGAAGCTGAGCTAGAAAAGTCTTACACTCACACGGCAGTGTCCAACAACACCATAACTCCATAGGCGACGAACATCACACTGCTGTGCCGAACACTACAAGCTTTTTTAGGCGACAAAATGGTTTTTGTATCTAAACATTGCTAGCTAGTAGGGTTGACATGGACTTGCGTTGATCATTGATCACCGCAGATACGCTGGCTCCCGGACCATGCCTACTCCAGTAACGATTTGACATCCATTTTTACAAACTCTAGTCATCCGAGAAGTAAAACTGCAACTTGTTTTCCTCTTACTAGGCTAGACTAGCCACTATGGCACCTCCAAGATTTCCTGTCCTCCCATGTAAGGTCGAAGGACTTTTGGCACCAGAACACTGCCATCAGGCCTTTGATAGTTTTCTAGAACGGCCACCAAAGTGCGTCCTACAGCCAGTCCACTTCCATTGATGGTGTGGCAGAGTTGTGGCTTGGGCTTCTTGGCTTTCTTCTTTTTCTTTTTGTTGCCACCTTCATTACTGCTCTCTGGTTCCTGTGGCGCCTTTGGGCGGTATCGCAAAGCCATGCGACGAGCCTGGAAATCACCTGTATTGGAACAGGAACTGATTTCTCGATATTCCTGTGCACCAGGAAGCCAAACTTCCAAGTCGTAGCAGTGTCGAGCACTAAAGCCAATATCACCCGAACAAAGCCGTACCTTGCGATACGGCAGTTCTAAATTTTTCAGACAAGCTTCGGCGTGTTGGGTGAGCAATTCGTGCTGTTCGTCGGATGTTTCGGCGCTGGTAATCTTGACCATTTCGACCTTTTGAAATTGATGCGTACGAATCAAACCCTTGGTATCTCTGCCATAAGACCCTGCTTCGGCTCGGAAACAGGGAGTCCATGCCACGTAGGAGATGGGTAGATCGCTCTCTTCCAAGACACTGTCCCGATGCAGATTCGTCACGGGAACTTCGGCAGTAGGAATCAAGAACGCATCCTCTCCATTACATGTATGAGATTCCGGAGTAATGGCAAAGAGATCTTCTTGAAACTTTGGTAGCTGGGAGGTTCCTTCCAATGCCGATCGACCCACCACGAGTGGAACACTGACTTCGGTGTACCCATGTTCTTCGGAAGTGTGCAAGTCCAAAAAGTACATGGCAATGGCCCGTTCCAGTTGGGCAATTTTACCAGATAATCCCACAAATCGTGCTCCACTCATTTTGACGGCCTCTTCGGATTTGTACCCGCCCAGTTTGGCCGCGACATCATCATGCCAAGCCGGTGTGAAATCGTCAGTCCATCCCAGTTCCTTGGGAAGAGCTTCAATGTCACCCCATGTCGAGACTTGTTCATTTTGGGTATCATCATCACCATCCGGAACGATATCATCCAACAGATTGGGAATACCAGCAAATAGATTGTCCACTTGTGTTTGAATATCATCCAATTCCAGCTCTGCCTTGGCAGCACCTTCTGCCGCTTGATTGCTTTTTTCCTTGGCAGCTTCCACGGCGTCCGTGTCGTCACTTTGTTCTCGCATTAACTTTCCGACGACCGCCGAAGCTTCCTTTCGTTGATTGAGGAACGAGTCTCGTTCTTGAATGAGTGCCACCCGTTTTTCCTGTAGCGACGCAATGGTCTGGACGGCCTCGATGGTTTCGGAACTGGCTCGTCTGGATTTCAAATGAGAGATGACCATGTCGGGTTCCGTGGCAATCGTTCGGACTTCCAAGGAAAAGTCTTGACGCGAAATACGGCTCGTCGTTTCGGCAGGAGCCGTCGAAGCACCCAATAGTCGGGTGGTGGACGACACACCACGGGCCAATAATCGTGGCAGGAATTGCCGAGAGACCAATGCATGGCAGCTGTGGCGACCAGCCGCCAATACCATGATGGAAAGACTTGGGAACTTCATTCAACAGCAGCAAATAACAGGCGTGGAAAGTTTTTGTTGTTGAGTTGTCTGCTTCCGAGCAAAAGGTCAATTACTCAGCAATCGTTGCTACCGGTATTGACAAGTGTAGGAAATGAAATGTTCCTTTAGAAGAGGATCTTCATCTCATTTTTCTTGTTTGCTGACTGCATGATGTTCGGTCTGAGTTTGTGTTGGCATGAAGCGAAATGCGTCAGTCCTTACGGAGGACAGACGCTGGGCGATGAATTGACCGTTCCCGACGAGGGTTGAGGGTATCGTACCGGATATCTTTCGGATTTCGACGTCCGCTTTCTCAGCGATCGAGTCAACAGCCCAACCATCATCATCCTCACGATGCGAGTGAAGAGTTTGTTGTTGGTACTGTCAAGAAAGCCAGACAAACTTTGGCACTGCACCATTCACAGAACGATCTGTTGCCAGCTGAAATTGCCCTGGACGACATTGTCGGTATAGTACGCATTCGAAGCCCTGAACTACTCTGCCTGTCACTCGTCTCTTGAGAGTAGCTCGCATATATAGCTACCGTACAGAATCGAATCCAAGCAAAGAAAGCCACCATCTAACTATTATAAACACACGGAAGCAATCAACCATGTCCACTCCGGTATTTGATGAGCCCACCACTACCAAGTCTTCTTCGGTTGCGACAACGGCTGATTCGGACCTTACCACACGAATGCAGCACATGATTGACTTGCAGAATGAAGAGCAGCATTTATCCCAACATGAACATATCAAAGAAATTGATCAGTTCTATTCCTCTGGTTCTTCCCGAGGAGAGCCACCCGAGACTACCACGATGCCCATTGCTTCTGCCCAGCCAAAATCTTCCATGGGAGCCAAATCCCTTTCTAGATCTGTCGGTCTGTCCAGTCTCCACAATCTGCATCAAGACAACAACCACAACAACAACATTGAAAGTATCACTCCCGAAGTCTTTGGGGACGGAGTGGGCAGAGGCACTCTCTTGTTCAATACTGAAACCTTGGGATCGACAACAACTGCCGAAGATCAAAGTCTACTGGCAACCATGATGCCACAAACACAAAATAATGCTACCTACGGTACTGCATTGCCCGAGAATCCTCATTATCATCCTCCAGTGCCCAACCACCATGATCAGTATGAGTTTACGGATAACATGCATTACCAAAAACAACAACAAGAACAACAATCTTCATTCTGCAACCTCATTGGCTATTTCTGTTCTTGTGTGTGGACACTGCTATACATGTGTCTTTGTTGCTGTTCCACAGATGCCATTGAAGAACAAGCTTTGCACCGTTCGTTTTGTTACGGAGCCATTGATGGGATGCTCACGGGCAGTGGCATTGTCGCGGCATTTTCCGGCATGTCGGTTCTGGCGCCCACGTCGACACTCTCCATACGATTGTTCGTCATGGCATTCTCCGCGGCGGCTTGTTTTGCCGATTCGCTCTGCATGGCATTGGGACATGTCTGGACAACCCATGTACTGGTATCGGCATCGGCACGAGAACGCACCCAACAACGAGTCACCATTGAAAAGAATAGACCCGATGCCAAGGGAAAACTCGTCGATATGTTGTTGGAACGAGGCATGTTGAAAATCGATGCCATGAGCTTTGCGGATACATTAGAAGGATACCCCGACATGTTTGTGAGCGTTTTAGTGGGTGATGCATTGATCCCGGCTGCAGCAGCAGGCACAGACTCGAATGGGATGGACCGGAACAATCGATCTTGGAGTGGTGGGAGTGCTGCTGGAACGCCTCGAAGTTGGAGTGGGCATTATGACGAAAATGCCCGTTCACAAGATGCCCTGTCATCGTCCGTGAATCAAAATAATGGCAGCTTTCTCTCTTGGAAGTTCCCATCTTATGGGCAACGGATCAATGAACTAGATGAAGAGATTGATCCGGAGGCTGCCTTTGTCGGTTCGGCCATGACAGAAAGCAGGCGCGAAGGTCTCTTCATGATGATGGGATTCTCACTGTTTGCCGTCGTCCCCAGTCTGATTTATTTGATTGTACCAATGGTGATTGCACCTCCTTCCTCATCATCATCATCGTCAAGCGCCACACATGACAATGGAGGCGCCACCTCGGCAACCTCTGTGGTGGTTACTACAGCTGCTGCCGTCATGTGGTGTCTTGGAGTGTGGAAAAGTCGGTTTCTGGACTCCAACTGGGTGCTGTTTGGAATTGAGACCGTTGTGGTGCTGTTGGTATGTATCGGTGCTGCGTATGGATTGGGAGCCTTGCTCAGTGTTTGCTTCCCCGGTCTCGCCGTGACCATTTCCAGCACCTCCGAATTGGACAGCAGCACATCCGAGTTGTGAAGAAAACGCGACAATTCACTCCACAGATCATCTCGACGGACAGACCCAGCTAGTTCCATACCTAAAGCAGCCGCCACGCCAAAAGCAGAATCGAATCTTCCATGAACGTACCACAGCCCAACATCAAAACGGCTAGCTGGCAACGCTAGGCGCGCCTTGTAATTATAGCACACCACGGCTCGCAACTTGGTGGAAACTACTTCCTCTATTTTATGCCAGCTCCCTCGACGGGAAGGCATTGGGCTTTGCTGCGTTCGCTTCTACGTGGGGAAACTAAGCGGGCTTGTTGTCCCTTCTCTTTCGTTCCTTCATGCTCTAAACAAAGCGCTCGAACTGCACACCATCTAGCATACCTCCCCGCAGCGTTCGCGTTACCAATCGGCCAAATCCGCTGGCATCCTTTCGAAACAATTCTGCGGCTTCCTTATTGAGAGGATCATCAGGATTTGGCTCGTAAAAGAGATAAAGGAGACCATAAATGACAGCGTTGATGTCGAGCACAGGTTTCCAATCTTGTCGGAGAACTGCCAAGACGGCACAAAAAGCAACTGACAGTGAGTACTTCATCCCCCTCCCGTTGAGACTGCTCTGTTTCGTGCCTACTTACTATTCAGGCATACTTTGCCCTGCAAATCAATGTTGGGATGGTAGATTTTCTGGTCATTGTTCCGACGGGAATAAAATGGCTCGTCAGCAACTTGGTGTGTATCAAAAAAGCTGAACTGACACTCGACGTACCGTTTGGCACTCCACCTTGGGAGGAGAGTGGGGGTAATGAGGCGGAATTGTAAGGGTAAAGTGGTAAGTGGCTCCAGTCCAGTAGCCAGTATCAGGGCTAACAGAGACCGCGAACGTCGTCAGATCGTTTGGGTTGGGGAAGGATATGTTCGCTACATCGCCTCCATCCAACTCAGCAATATCTGGAGATGCAATATGCACAAAAGAAAAGACGCAAAGGTATCAGCATTGGACGAATGTGTTTGTGTCCCGAGAGAAACACTCCAAGACATTCCCGTACCTTTCTGGATGCGGATCTCCCCGGGCGTTCGCTTCTTTGCTGTCTTCCCCTCTCCGTTCTTCGATTTCTTCTCACCGCCAATGCCAAACAAGGACACCACGCGGGGGTCGCTGACATCGCCCTTGGCTGCAATCGTTTCTGGTTCTTCTCTCCTGCCTGCTGCTGCGGCTTTTGCTGCGGTCGCAGCCTCTCGTTTCTTCTTCAATGCCAACATGGTGTTTATCGACTTTTGTTGGTTTTTGCCGTATGCTATCTTTGCTTTATGAGGTGGTACGGAGAGGGGCAGTCCTCAACGAGGTGGCTGGAGCCGTGCCCGGACCTCAGTCCCGCTTGAAACGTGGATGCAACGAAGCGAGGGAGCTGTCCACAGTTCGTAAATAGTGAAAGACGGAGGCACCAAGCCTGGTTGCTGGGGCAAATCATAGTCGCAGCTTTCAACGTACTGGTAACAATAGCAGCATACCGGTAGCGTTTGTCATTGGCATGCCGGTCAAGAACGGCAACGCCACCCACTCGACTCGATCGAATCATTCGAGGAAAGGGGGCAGGTTCACAGTGAACGAGGGGCAGTTTGCAAAGCTACCGGTGCTGACTGCTTGAATGCCAACGCTAGTTCGTGTTCCCCTCTAGCTAGACTTGAAGATAAACCATCGAAAACCAGCTTTTGGCCGCATAAAAGCTAACTCTAGTGATTTTAGCTACAAATCCCCGCAAAGCAATTCCTTTCCGAGGCTACCAACTTGTGCAATGTGAGCGGCTTCAAGTTCAGTAATCATTGACTGCTTCCAAGATTGAAGCTTCGGCATACTCAAAGAGCTCATCATCAATGATACATCCTGGGAATAGGAACGGTGAGAAACATTTTTTCTGTGACGATTGGTACCATCACCGACCAGAAGAAAACTTACCGCTGCTGCCGCGTCCACCGCCGCCGCGTCCACCACCGCCACCGCCGCCGCGTCCACCGCCACGGCCCCAGTCATCCCTGCTGCCTCCTCGGCCACCCTTATCTTTGCCTCGTTTCTTTTTCTTGTCCTTCTTGCTGCGACTGTCGCCAAACAAATCGCCGTAGTCGCCTCCATCAGAACCGGTGTTGGCAATCGCAGTGATCTGGATATTGATGTCTCCAAGCCTCCTACTCGGGTAGAGTCCGTCCAGGATGGTATCTTCAAGCATTTCAAGCATCTCATCCTCACTGCAGTACACTACGTCACTTTTCTTCTTGTTCTTCTTGTCATTCTTGTCCTCCGAGTCCTCCTTCGAGTCCTTCTTCTTCTTCTTCTTCTTTTTCTTCTTTCCGCCACCGCTGGAGCCTTCATCACTGTCCGAGCTCTCTTCTTCCTCGTAGCTGTCTGCCTCGTAGCTGTCTTCCTCGTAGCTGTCTTCCTCCTGCTTATCCTTGTACTCTTCCAATTCCTTTTCACGCTGCTCCTCCTCCATTTCTTCAAGCCACTCATCTTCCTTTTGGTATTGCTCTTCTTCCGCAAGGAATTCGTTCTTCAGCTTCTCTTCCAATGCTTTTCCTGAACAGACATCCTCCTCACACGAGCAGGGCGAATCTCCTTTGCATGGGCCATGCGCGTGTTCGAGGTACTGGAAGTAGCCAGGGACGCAACAGGGAGGTTCATCCCTTCTCTCAGTGGAATAGAGATGTTTGGCTTTCATGGCTGTATCTGCTCCACAAACGTCTGTAACAATAGTCTGATACTGCCACACCACACCAGGAGGGAAGGTGGTCGAGTATTCTTCAGACTCCTCGAAACTCAGGGACGACCCTACAGACTGGGAAACTTCTTGGCCATACGAGAAACTGGATTCTACACTGGTACTGCCAAATACCATATCGGCTTCGACCGTCACCGTGACACCAACTTCCCAATTCTCCGACTTGGTGTAATCCTTGCTTTCTTCCCTTTTAGACAGCAGAACGTATAGGTGCCATCATCCAATTCGAAGAAGTTAGTGACATCCATGCAAGGTGTCAACATTCTAGACGACGATCAGAAGTGGACTTACTTTGTGATTCCTGTGGTATAAGTGACAGTCTGTTCACCATTGGATGTGTGCTTGTGGACCCAGGCACCTTTTGCAGCCTTTGGTTGGCAGGCAACAGCGTTCGTCATTGTTACGGTTGATCCGTCACCAGCAAGTCGTCGCAAGATCCATTTGAAACGCTTGTCAGTGGGTTGGGCACTCTTTTGAATGTAATTTCGCGTTTTGGCTTCCTCCTTCTCCCAATTCGACAACCACTTCATCTTCATTGCTCCGTTCTGGATAAACACAGCACTCTGATCCATAATGCAATTTCCTTTGGCTGGATCGGGGGCGCCGACGTCTCCATTGCCCATGTTACTTCTGAACTGCCACGCATAATGATTCGGTAACTTTTCTCCATCAGAGTTTCCTTGGACGTCGTTGGTCTTGGTACCCTCTTGCTTGTCGCCACGGCACCCACTTAGCCATCTCTTGTGACCTTCTTTGTCGCCAGTGACCCAGAGGTAGACCCAGTCACCATATTTGACACACTGACCATCCATTTTGCCTGGGTTGACCCTGTCATTAGCCTGGATTTTGAACCTGTAATGCTTATCTTTCTTGGTCTCATCGTTGTTCTTGTACTTGTGCCTAGTAAAGCTGTCATCATTGCCCTTTCCACGGCCACCACTTAGCCACTTGAATTCTTCCGACATGGCCTGGATGTAGATGAACTCGCCAAACTTGAGATACATAGCTTCCTTCTCCTTCTTCTTTGCCACCACAGCCGCGTTGTCGCCTTTCTTTGCAGAGTACGGCTTGGGCGACGGCGCGGGCGCTGGTAGCGATGTCGGAACTGGAGCTGGGCCCTTCTCTCTTCTTCTTCCCCGCTTCGACTGGGTCTGACCAACCCAGAACAAGCCAGGTCACGAAAAGGAGTTTGAAGCACAACGACGTCTTCATCTTGTCTAGCTAGTGTTTTGTTGGTTGGTTGATTGATTTGGAGTTCGTTGATTTATTTGCTCAACATCCAAACTTATGAGAGCTCGGTCACTTCGAGGCCCTGTCTGAAGATCCAGGATCTTGAATGATGCAAATACTTTGGGATGCGGGAAAGAAGAAAAGTCTAACCATCCATCGTTTGTTGCGAAGGCAACTGGGGTTCATGAAATCTTGTTGGGCCTGGTTGGATCGATGTTGACCCGTCAAAAAGTGACGGTCGTCTTCTTTACTAGTACCAGTAGTCTACTCTACCTCGCTTTCGTACATTGGTACCGGGTACCGTCGGTGGTCGGTGGTACCCAAGGTGCGAGAACTATTAAAGAGTACTATCTAGTAGGGCTTTTCTTCGGCGTGTTCTTAATTAAGTAACCTAATACCCGGGGTACGCATAGAATTAAAATGGTAGTATTACCGTACCTTTGGTAGGTGCCTGTGTGTATGAATGTTGTACTGTTCCCGGAATCGATACTGTATCCCTGTGTTGCCCACCACCACCCTCAATCACAATCATTGTAAATTTTGCCTTTTCATTTGATCTAGAGTCTATTTTCAAGTTCTATTGATGTGACGAATGATTTGGCATTGATGCGGTAAGAAAAAATGCCTTCGATGGTAAGTAATGATTGGCCGATTTACGGTGTTCTCGCTTGTACCGGTACGTACTGTACGGTACAGCGACCTGCCTGCATGCTTGGTTGGTATTTACTGTTTATTCCTTACTGCCATGAGGTCAGTAAAAGGAGCAGTAATGGCAGTAATGCAGTAATTCCTCAGTAGCAGTAATTATGCACAGTAATTTAAAGCCAATTGAAGGCAGTAAACTACAGTAATTGCAGTAATAAAGGCTAATTACTGTGCTTTTACTGTCATTTACTGGATATTACTGTTGCAAAGGCAGATTACTTACTGCATGGGATTACTTACTGCAGTAATTAGGTGGCCAACAATGGCAGTAATTGGACAGTAAGGAGCCAGTAACCCGGATTTACTGCAGTAAATACCAACCAAGCCTGCATGCACGCATCCACAGCTCATCGATAACCACACATCCACACAACGACCCATTAATTTTGTCAATCGGGAACCAAGCAGTCATCGAGAATACCATACCTGTACTGAGTACCCGGTACAGTACTAGTACCGTCCCCAAGCAATATCTTTCAATGAGACATGGATCTTGGAGGCTTGGAGGTAGCCAGATAGCGCTTTGCCAGCTTGAGTGAGAAGGGGACAGCGCAGTCATGGTAAGATTGCCCAACAGGTTAGCTTGATCGAAGCATCTCAATGGTTTAAGAGCGGCCACTTGGTCATCGTACATCGTATCGTATCTTTCCAGCAACCAAAATCTTTCTTGGCAATGCCAAGGGCTCGACGAAGGATCGAGCTGACTTTAACCATCATAGACTCTGTCTTTGCTGTTTGTTCGAAGCAGACGAGTCTAAGAGTGTATCAGCTCACAAAACCAATTCTTCAGGGTTGGAACTACTTATTAGCTACCTAGCTAGGAGAAAGAAGATGCGGCTCTCCCATCCATTGAATCTCTTGTGCTTGTTCGTCTGCCTCCTGGGGGTGGCAGTTTCGACGGTGGCCGCCAAAGGTCATCTTCGTTCCGTGGCAACGACAACAACGACTTCTGCCAACGCGGACAACGGTCAGGATGTGATGAAGGCCCAGTCGGATCAGGCGCTGTCTGCCGAGGAAATGCAGCGACTTCTCGGCTCGTCTGTCTCGGATAAGAGGAAGAAAAAGAAGAGGGGAAACTCTGCCTCAAAAGATGGCAGCGATGGCGGCAGTGATCGGGATAGCGATAACGATAGAAACCGCGATAGAGATCGCAGTCGCAGTCGCAGCCGCAGTCGCAGCCGTGATCGTGATGACACGGACCCCGAAGCAAAACGCGACCAAGAAGACGAAGAGCGCAAGAGCGACGAAGATGAAAAAAGGAACAGCAGGAGCAAAAGCAGAGAAGAAAAAGACAACGACAAAGAAGAGGTTAGTGATGGACTACTCGATTGCCATGACTGTTGTGTAGCTACTGGTCTAGTAGATGAACTAGCTAGGTTTCTCACATTTCATTTCCTCCTCCTTTTTTTGGTAGGAAAAAGAGCGTGAAGAAAGCGAAGAAGAAGAAGAAAAGAATTCGGAGGACAAGAAGAAGAACAGGAAGAGCGAGAAGCGCAATAGCGACAGCGCCGACAAGGACGAAGAAGGAAAGGAAGAAGACGACGCCCGAGAGAAGAATGAAGAAGAGAATGCGGAGAATCTCAAGGCTTTGAAAAAGGTGACACAGAAAGCTGTGGAAAAGAAGATTCAGGAAGTTGGGGCCAGTGATTGTCGTCGTAATCTCCAACTGAACAATATAAAGAAGCAGTCGAATGCTGCAAAAACCAAAAAGACGCCGAATAATGGCAACGCAAAGAACAACAACAACAATGACAATGACAATGGAAAAAGTGATAACGATGCAAACGACGAGGACAAGAAGAAGAAGAAGAACAACAATAACAACAACAACGACAACACGGACAACAAGAAGAAAAAGAACAAGAACAACGACAATGACAATGACAACAACAAAGACAGCCCTGCACGATCAGAGACGAAGAAAAAGCTCAAGAAGTTTGTGGACAGGGAGGTGAAGACCAAGATTGATTCAGAAACTGGTTCTTGCTCTGATTAGGCATGGTCGCAGGTGCTGGTCAGCCATGCATGTATGTGAGTTTCTCAGAATGGGCAATCAATCAGGACGACACAAGAGAGCCCAGCCTAGAGAGTAGATGATAACGAGGTATAAGCCCATGGAACCTGAACACAGACACTTGCCTTAGCTACCGGTAGCAGACGAGTGAGTGCGTAGCTTTGCCTACTAGCAAGCTAGCTAGATATCCAGGTAATAGGCCGAACTAGCGCTGAGCTGCAGAGCTCCACGAACTCCCCCATCCACACAATCTGGCGGATAGAGATGCGGAGCGGCTTGTCATCCGCACCTTTTTTAGAGGCACTAATAGTATGGTACCCGAGGTAGCGACGTACCCCACCGGTACCAGGTATCTATGGTGGGTGACGTACCCCACCAGTACCAGGTAGCTATGGTGGGCGAAGGCACCTTCACACGATCTACAAGTATTCATTCATGAGAGTCTATAGTCTGCTTTTGGGTAGTAGCCAACTACTCCAGTAACGAAGTATGGCTTCAGTACTGTGGAATCAATCAATACCCACTGGAGATTGCTGTCCCCCCACCTTTTCTCATTTCTTTGAAGTGGCCACAGCAGTCAAGGCATGACTGCAGACATTCATCAATTGGAGGCATTCATCTGCACCATCAATCATCATCTTTTCGGCCTCGGCAATCTTGATGGCTATGGTAGCCTTGGCCCTATCATTGATTTTGTTGCTGAACACCACTTTGTCGGTCAAGCCATCGAGCAAAAACTGGGCAGAAAAGCCGTCGGCACAAACAGCGTCCACAGTCTTTTGCACCCGCGCGATTTCACCCGACCAAATGTCTTCCCAAAGAGCATCAAAGACACCTGGAGTACACAATCCCACCATTTCGTAGATTGTTTCGGTTGTCACATTGCTGCTGCTACTGCCACCCAAGGAATGGACACACTGAAGAGTCGTGACGGCTTACGCATGTCTCCATTGGATAGTTTCAAAACCTCGTCAATGATATCATCCTTGACTGTCAATCCTTCGTGGGATGCGATATCGTGCAGTCGTTGTTTCATGCTGTCCACGGGAAGACTTTGAAAGCGGAATTTGGCACATCGACTTGCAACCGGTTCAATAATGCGAGACACATAGTTGCAGATCAGTATGAATCGTGTGATGTTGGAATATGCTTCCTACAAGACCGGATAGGTTCATGACAAAAAATGTGATGGTGAGTTGCTAAAGATGAGACACTATGTCAGTCCATGTGCCACAATTGCAGATTCTTACAATAATTCGTCGTAATGCTGCCTGGGCATCTGGTGTGACAGCGTCTAATCAAGAAGAAAAAACAGGAATTGGGAGTGAGACAGCATTGGTTTGATGCGCCCACCGAACCACAATTATCAATCCAAGGACCAACCACCTTACCAGCTTCATCAAGAATAATGATTTTGAAGGGTGGATTGGGATAACTTTTGGTGTCCTCTCCTTCATCCATCTTTTCGTCCTCTTCCTTGTTCTTTACCAAAAAGCACGATTTCATCTTGTTGCTGGCAGACGACCTGCTCCCACCTCCCACAGTGAGACTGGCAAATTGTTTGATTTTGTGGCGTACCACTGAGATTCCTCGTTCATCGCTGGCATTCAGTTCCAACACTCGTCGTTTGAGTTGGGAGGGATGATAGAGTTGTTTGCACAATGCCAAAGCCACAGATGTTTTTCTGTCCACTCAATACATCCAGAGTGAGAGACACGGATAATATAGCACCCATCAACCACGAATAGATTACGTACCCGCTCCCTGGTGATCCATGCTGTTGATAAAAAATTAATGGATTGATCAGTCCCAATAATCTTCCGAGACAACAGAGTGCGACGGCAGGGTAAAGACTGGACTCACCAGAAGGAGATGTGGAAGTTGTCCTGTCTCAACAGCCTTTTTGAGGGTGGCCACTACTTCCACTTGATGTGACACTTGATCGAGGTTCTTGGGACGGTACAGTTCGACCCAGGGGATGCTCTTGGCAGATACTGGCGGCATGGTTACTCTCTTTAGTCAGATGATGTGATGGCTGGGAATGGATTTATTTTGTGTCATTGTTGTGAGTGCTTCCTTGGACTTTCGGCCTGGATCGGTTTTCGTGGTTTGGATACGGGTATTAGCCTTAGCTCTAATGGAGAATTCAATTTTGCCACGTCACTTACACTTTCACCGATACTCCGTCTCGTCGAGTCAAGTTGGACACTTACTTACAGTGGCGGTTACCTTTTTACTGGCCCATTTGGCTTCGTGGGAGCATGGTGACGGAGCTCACATTTTGACTTGAAATGGAAGCACTCCGATGATCCAGCCACATTCATCTCCACTAGCTTGAGTATCGCAAAACCGAAACAACTCATTATCTTCTCCACCCTCTTTGTAGCCAGCTCAACGCAAGAGTCAAAGAATCAAACGGATTGTTCATTCTGGTTTATTAGCTTCCAACGAAGCCTCTGCAGCATCACCAGATGCAAGCTGCCGTCGCCAACCTCACAAATCCCCAAGTCCAAAGGTACCAACATCTTGACCCATCCGATAGAATACCGGTACAACCCACGGCAATGAAGCGAACAATCGATATGATGATCCGGCACCACCGAGAGAAGAACGTCTCAAGGCACAAACGAGATTCTAGCCTCTCCAGCATCAGCGGAGACTGGGCGAGTATCACGGAGGAGCAGTCCACGGGCGAGCAATCAGCATCTGATCAGAGCCGAAGAATGAGTATCGTGGCGGAAATGGCCATATTAGCATCTTCTTCTCCAGAAATCAAAGCTTTGAGTCTCCGACGAGGGTCCAGTATGCTTCCTTCTCCTAGTTCGTCCGTTGCATCGAGCACTGTTGCGAACCTCTCGGCCACTTCCTTTGCAGAAGAATACAAGTGCCAGGAGGATATGGATAGTGAAACTACCAAGTCTGTCCTCGGGGAACAATTGGCTGCTTTGGCGTTTGAAAACCTCCGCATTGAACCCCCTCCATGCCCAAGAAGGGAGGAGGTTAGCGACATTGCCAAGATTATCAACGTGGACAACAACAAGGAGAACTCTCTACATCAGGACACGAGATGCCGTGTGCCCCCAGGAACGGAAAGCAGCACAATTGGACCCGCACAAAGATCAAGAAGGACATCAGCAGGTTCCGCAACTAGGGTATCTCATCGAGACAGCTTTGGCAGTTGTGGCACCAGGCTATCTCATCGAGACAGCTTCGGCAGTTGTGGCAGCACGAGGCCACCAAAACATCCAGCGCCCTCAAATGCATCAACGCCCAAGTCACCACAGCATCGAAGGCCAAGTATGCATCGACGAGTATCCTTTGATTCGCTTCCTTCACCATCTGAAATTGGAGGGTCCATTCCTGCCCTACTCTACAGCTCTGCGTCCGACCGCAGCATCTTTTCAACGCCCTCGCCGCCTCCCTCCTCGGACAGACCAAGTCCACACTGTAAATCGTCTTCGTCAGAAAGAAGTAATCCTCGGGCTCACCACCGAAAGAGTGCAAGCATGCTGGGTGTTCCTCGAAGTCTAAAGTTCAACTCGATGGACAGACAAGTCAAGTTGGGAAAAGACGCCAGCTTGTCAAAGATGTACAACTCATGAGACCTTTCAAACTGAATACGAACCTGTCTCCAGGATATTGTTGAACACCACATGGAAGTTTCACGAAACGTATGTAATCTATTCCCGTGCTCGTACACACAAGATCTTTTTTATTTGTTCAAGTTTTTTGTGAGTGATATTATGCTTGTATTAGAATGATCAACTATAACTTACATAAGTTACATCTAGCTAGCCCAGTTTCTCCATGTTCAACCAGTAGCTACCGATACACCTCCGGACTGGCACGCCTTGAGCTAGGATGGTGGTGGCTCCCACACTGTTCCAGGAACGAATCGGGGGCGACACTTGTGGCAATAGCAAAACGACCGATCACAACCCACAAAGGCTAGCGGGTCCTGTGATGATACTAGCTCGACAACTTGCATCCATACGTTGGACAGCTCTTGATGCACTTCCTGCAGCAATGCATCCTGCTCTACTCTTGTCGATCCCATGTCCATGTCCCAATGAACCGCTCTCCCCGGTTCGGAGTTCAGGTAGAACAATCGGAGCAATCGAACATCCATTTCATTTTCTCGAAAGGACACGTCGTTTCCAGCGCCCTTTTCCCTCAAGAGCAGCGCGTAGATTTTGAGTTGAAAGAATGCTTCCTGGACAATTTGTTCGTTCATTTGATGTGAATACTTGAGATTGGGAGCCTTGCCTGTCATGACAATGTGAGGATATTACTGTTTCTAGAAAAGCCACAACGGATTGAGCATGCACTACTCACCAGTTTTGTAGTCGACAATGCGTAGACAGACTTTGGACGATGCATCGGCTGTCTTGACCATATCCAAGCGATCCACGATCCCTCGTACATGAAAGGTTGGAGTATCCGGTTGCACTTTTGGAGGGCTGGCAGTGACGCCTTGTGCTGGATCGATGGAAAGGTGGGCATTGAGCCAGATTTCACGCTTGAGCGGATTTGGTCGAACCAGTGTCTTTGGGTCTTCCAATTCATAATAGTTCTCCAGCAACTTCAACGCCGATTTACCCCACTCTCTTTCGGCCGGAGTATCCCATTCTAAAATCTGTGGATTGTCTGGATTGGATTTTTCAAAGAGTATCCGGTAGGTATCGGTGAATCGATGTCGGCACCATTCTGTCCGGAAAAGATCCTGCAGAACTTTCAGTGTTCGATCTTGTGGTTCTAGATCAAAGAGATGTTCCAGGGCACTGTGGCACATGGACCCTTTGGCCAAGGCTTCCGAGGTGGGTTGTCTTAATCCATAGAGATACTGAAACAGAAAGGATTGGGGGCATTTTTTGAATTCCATAATGGCAGATGGTGACAAGGCCTTGGGATACGGGATCGTTCCATCGCAGAGCTGGTCAGGGCGTAAGAGTTCAGGTTCTTCATTATTCTGGGTATCCTGCAGAATTGCACTCTTGGATAAATACCGTGATGTGTGAATGCGACGCCGAGACCTAACTGCGAAATAGTTATACCTTGCATTTGCCAAAAGCAGGGGGTTGGCCATCGGTAGCAACGGAAATTCTGCCCTCCCCACACGCATCACTGTGGCCTTGTTGGAGAGACAACTGCATTGTCGTAAGCTGAAGAGCCTCATGATGCTTAAGATGGCAATCCCCAAATGGTGTCGTCTCCTCATCTATTATAATGGTTAGTGCATTCTTGTACCAGAACCGATGGTCCCTAAAATTCGAAAGATACGAGATAGAATGGGTTTCGCGGTGGCAGCAATAACCACAATATTATTGTTATTTCAAAGGAGGCGCCAAACACGAATGAGCCCATCCAGTTCGAAACCGAAATACTTAGAGACATCGGACGAAGGTTTGTGAGGCTGGCTTTCGGCGGGGAGCAACCCACATTACATGTAATGTGAAGAGCGCTGATGCATCTGTTGTGAGTAAAAGGTCGTCGTTGCTTGTCGTGCTGTTGATGCCACAGACACACACATGACGAGACGATGAAGAGGGCAGCAGGACAGATCCGAAAGGTCCGAAGAAACAAGGGAGGCGACAAAGATGGTGGCTCGTTGGACGGAGCCAGTGATAGTCAAGAGCACGTTGCGGAGAAGCCTGCGAGGCGAAAACCGACCGCGGAAGAAGCAGCCTTGACGGCCAAGAATTATCGACTGGCAAAAGAGTTGGTAAGCCTTCATTATTTGGTCTGCAAATGTCGCTGCAACTGGTTGGTTTTGGCTTTGTCTCACTATTGGTCGTTGTGTCTGTTCATTCAGAGCGACTTGAGAGTACGACACCGCGAGGAAAACAAAAATGTGTCCAGGCTCACCATGGAGAATGTGAGTGACAGTCAAGAGTTGCCAAAAAGCAGCACGTTGTTGCTTCGCAGGTTCTAACGTTTTCTCTCTCTCTCTTGTGGCTTGGTGATGTAGATGAATTTGGCAACCCGCTGGCGAGAGGCAATCAACCATATTGGAATGCTCAAAAAGGAACTGGCCATGCAGAAACACAGAACAAATGAAGCCCTGACGCAATTACAGCGTCAAAAAGCCTTGGCTTGTTCTCCGCAATCACAAGGCTCGCTCTCCTTGGGACAATCGCCTACCAACTCACTCGTAGAAGTTGCTGCATCACGAGGAGCATCTGGGGTGTTTCAGGACGTGGCAGCTGAAATGGATAAAATGGACCGCCTCATTGCTGCACATCAAACATCTTCGTCGCCACCCCCGCTGCCAAGAGCGAGTTCTAGCTTTGACGAAACTCCCAGCTTTGGAGCTCCATCATCGCCAATTGTTATGGACGTATCCAACGAATCAATCAGAGAAATTGATGGGGAGGAGAAAAAGACTCAGGAATCGATGGACCAACCCATCACGCCCAGTCCAGAAAAGGACGACAGCAATAGCAATGAAGAATTCAACGACAATGAGCATGGTGGTGTGAATTACTTTGCACCTTTCAAGGATGCCAAAAACATGGTCGATGTGGACTCTATAGGCATAGACGACCCACCATTTCAATTGTCACCGGCAGCTTCTGTCACCCCATCTGAATCTCCGCCGCCATCACCACCAAACCAAACAGATTCACCTTCGGAAGATTTAGAAGACAAGATGCCGCAACAGAACAGCAGAAACGGTTCTCCCTCGTCTTTGTTTCCCATGACCGCCTCTCCTGTCTTGGGTCGATCCAAAGTGTTCAACGAATCCTACCCAGGAGACATTACACGGGATGTTACGGCACATCCCCGAAGTGCCGAGAGGCGACCCGCTGCAGACTTCAAAGACATTCAGGAAGAAGACGACAGCGCCATCGTATCTTCCACGTCCATGGGATCCTCAAAAGCACAGCCGCCGCCACTACCACTCAGCAGCATTGCAGCGTTCGACGCCTCCTTTGCGACGCCATTCCCAGACAGCTTTTCACCTGCAGATGAGAGCAACAAATCGGATGACAAAAAGACTAGCACCAGTCCCGAACCCAACGGAGACGAATACAATCCTTTCTTCCCCAGTCCCAGAAAGGATGAGCAGCAACCAAAGAATTCTGCGACTAGCAACAGCAAATCACAATCCGAAAATTCATCCGTGTCCTCGGCCGGAATGAGTCGACGCGGGCAAGCTGACAATGCTCCGTCGCCTGTCTTTAATGGAAGGCCACGGACGGCTGTTGCTTCTGGTCTCTTTACTTCAACAACCTCAATCACTGGCAACACGGTGGATACTAGGCGAAGGCCAACACCCAGTTTCGACAACCCAGCGAATACATCCACACCCAACCAATGGAATCGAGGCGTTGCTGGTCTGACAAGTGGTGATACTGGCAGCATTGACGCAAAAGACCACGCCTCTAGTGGTGTCACTCGATATCAGACTCCACCCCATGGGAATCGAAGCCCCGAGAGCACCACCGGAATGGATTCGGAGGGGCCCAAACGGCCCGAAAAGACTGGGGCAGCTGCTGCTAGGGCACGCTACGAGAAAGCGCTGCAACCTCGAGGATTCACGGGTGGCTCGCGCCGCTTTCCGAGACGAGCCGACAGAGAAGAGGAACAAGGCGCAAGTCCAGTATCGGCCCCTTCGGTCTCGTTAGCTGAAAACAAAGTGGCCGCGGCGAATGACATTTCCGGCGGAAGCTCGAATCATGTAGTGACGCAATCTAGTAGGGTCAAAGAGCGAGCGGCTTCCTTCGCGGGGATGACGACTGTTGCTCCAGTCGGAGACAAAAGAGTAACCCGAGGGAGTTGGGCCGCCCGTCCCTCCCCGACGGATTCCGTCGGCTCCAAGCCATGGGATGAGGAGGTTGGTGACATCCCCATGAGCACATCGTCATCCAGTATCAAAAGTGCCGAAGCATCATCAGCAGTCGGACATCGAACTAATGGTGTCTCGTCCTTCACTGGTAATAGTCCGTCCGCCAACTCGGTGCGATCCAGCTACGCTCGCCGTCTCCTCGAACGGAATCGACCATGGGACAAGACGAGCCCCAAGCAAGAGACGGCGCCAAACGTATCAACCGTATCGGTGCAGCACGACGACCTCCCCCAAAGCAAGAGCGATTCACCTGAATCCAGATTCATTGAAGCGGGAAGGAGCCGTCGCCGCGTCAAGCAACCGATATCGTATGCTGAGCCATCTCTTGGCGCCAAACTTCGACAAGGAGATGTCTACTTTCCGAAGGAAGATCCTGGCACTCGGCCTGCCACTAATCCTGTACACTTGTAGTCCAGTTCATCTCTTTGTGTTTGGCTAGCTAGGAATTCCCTACATTAAAAGATTTTCAAATTCAACATCAAGCACTTCTACCTAGCTAGTAGCCGTCGAACAACAGTAAACGACGAGCTAGAGAGATTCAATTCAAAGTCGAGAACCTCGGCACATGTCAATGAGCCCACAGTTCTGGTCTCTCCTTGAGCAAGCCGAACAAAATACCAAGCTTTTTTGTTTCTGGGGCACTATTTGCCTCGTCCAAGATCTGTACAAAGGCCTCCTTGCTTGTGCCAAAATCTCTTGCCCCACGGCGTCCCCATTGGTTCAAGAGCAGCAAGTAGTCAATTGTCGCCGACCTAGCAGAAAGCTTTCCAACACCAAACGATTTTTGCCCAACCATCTCCAAAGTCAGGTTGTCATTCTGAAGAACCGCTTCCAAATGGTCTTGATTGGCTCGGTTGGCCAGGCAACCACGAATGTTGATAGATTTCAAGATAGCATTGTTCCTCAACGCCTCAAAGATGACTCTAGCGTTGACTGGAGCAGTCTTCAAACCAATGACGTTCAGACTTTGCAGGCTGGGATGGCCTTGCAAAAGTGAAAGGATTGCGGGGGTCAAATCTGGAGTGGCCTCCTGTGCACTGCTGAACCACATGTTTGAGCTCAGTTTCGTGAGGGAGGGTAACATAGGCAGGAATCCCTGTAGAAACATTTCGTTTGCGATAGAATGAGGACCATTTAGCGCAAGGGTTTGGACACTGGTTGGTTCAAGAATCACATCTCCCATTTCTTGTGGGGCCCAAGTCGATGGGAATACAAAGTCAGACAGACACAGTTCTTGGATACTATTGTTTCCCGACAGACCCAACAGTATGCTCTGGAGCACTGCATTGTCATTTGCATCACCATCACCTTCTTGCCCCCCTTCAAAAAACTCCACATCAGCTGTTAATGTCAATGCTTTCAATGAAGCGCTTCTCTGAATCAGCCCGGTCAGCGAATCGCCAGTGTCTGGTTGGTCAACAAACTCTCTGCGCGCCAATGTCAAGACCAGTGTTTCCATGCGAGGGTTGTCGTTTGCCAATTGATCTAGGAGCATCGCTAGTGCACCTCGAGACCATCTTTGAGGTTGACACTTGAGCACCTTCAGCCTCGGAAGAATCTGACAAAGGGCATCCGCCTCTGGGACTCCCATTTGACAGTGCCCGCCAATCCTACTGGAGCCGAACATGAAGTCTTGTAGTGGTTCTTTTGGATAGTACCGGACAATTGCGTCGTACAGATGGCCCGGACATTCGGCCACGAGAGCCGATGCCAAAAGATCAATGCTGTATGACCGCGATCCAAAGCACATGGCGGAATTACTTGCTTTGACACAAGAAGGATGCAGGTTCATGAGCATCTTCAAGGTATCCAGTTTGATACTTGACCTGGGTCTTTGACGTTCCTGGTCCAGAAACAGGTACACAGGCGGACTTCTACCTCTGTGATCGATTGTCATGATGGCAGAAGGATTCTTTTGATAGATATATTCCACCACTTGTTGGGACACATGTTCGGATATGCAAGCATAATGGAGTGGAGTTGTGCCCCGTGCATTCATCATCGCTATGGGATTGGTGCTACATACCGCCTGGATAATCTCCAGGTTTGCGGCTGTCTTGGATGATAGGAAATGACAGAGCGGTGTCGCGCCATCAAACGATTGCAAGGCAAGATCCGGATGCTCTTGAAGAATCGTCAGTGCTCGTTCGTGTCCGGTGGCATCCTCTAACCATTGTCGGACGTATCGACGGCGATCCAAAGCGCCAAAGATTCCTGCTAGCTCCTGGTGCGCCTTCTCCATGTTGCGTGTATTATGGTCTGAATGATTCGATTCGATTCGATTCTATCCCCTCTTTTCTTTGGGAGGTCCTGTCCCATTGCCGGCCATCCTTCTGTGGCCATCCTTGAAGCACGAAAAGTGAACGAAACAACGAAACATCAAAATGAGAGCGGTTGAGTCGAGTCGAGTCGTGCGTCCAGGATCTGGAAGCTCTGACCCTATTTACCTCACCGACGGCAATCTAAATCATCTGACATCTTCTTTTGCAACATTTTACCAGAACTTGGCAGCTGGTTCTTGTTCTCAAAACTCAAATCCAAAAGGCACCCCCTCGAACCTCAAAAGAAGAGAGACGACAAGAGACAGAAGACATCTGACGACGAGTATGATGAAGTCCCTCTTCCATTCATTTCCATTGCGGCTATTGCTTCTTCTGCTTGTTTCTCGCACAAGCAAGAAGCAGTTTTGTGTGAATGGATTTGCTCTTTTTCCGTCGCAGCTGTCATTGGTTCCAAGATCTTTGGATCCTGCTGTTCTGAAGCAGCAACACCAGCAACATGGTTCAGTACTGCCACCATTGAAGACACAAACAGACCATAGTAACGATGAAAGCAGCGTTCATCACCGCGTGGATATCATTGACCCACATCCGGAACAAGCCATGGTTGAAGATTCTCTGAGAAAACCGGTCAATGTTCGTCGATTCTACGAATCATTCCTCTGGAAACAAAACGAATTCACCAATCAGGACTACAAAATCAATTATCGAGTGGAAGGACCCAAAGATGGTCCTCCTGTTCTGCTGGTACATGGATTCGGTGCCAACATTAACCACTTCAGATTCCAGTTCCCAGCCCTGGTCAACGAAGGATATCGAGTCTACGCCATTGACTTGTTAGGATTTGGAGGAAGCGAAAAACCATCGGATGCCAACTACTCCATTGACTTATTCGTCCAATTACTGCATGATTTCGTCATGGACATGGATCCAAACCAAAAGTGGATCGCTGCTGGAAACTCCATTGGCGGACTCTGCTGTTTAGGACTAGCTGACAAACACCACGACTACCATGACGATAGCAACAACAACAACAACAACAACAACAATAATCTGGTACGAGCAGTCGTTCTGTTTAATACGTCGGGGGGCATGAGTAGCTTTCGCTATGATCAGATCCCGTGGTTTGCAAGGCCCATCATGTGGATGGTACAAAACTTTGTTCTAAAACATCCAGAACGAGGGGGCAAATTCTTTGAAAGTTTCAAAACGCGAGAAAATGTCGAAAGCATCCTCATGACCACGGGTGTCTATGGAAATACCACCAACGTGGACGAAGAGTTGTTGGAGATTCTACTCGGTCCCGCGGACGATGAAGGAGCTCGCGATGTCTTTTTAAAAGTATTTGGAGGAGACCCTGGGCGGACTCCAGAATCCTATCTGGCTCGTATCGACTGTCCGGTCTTGGCGCTTTGGGGCGAAGCCGATCCTTGGACTGTCATTGCCATGGGCGAAGCGTTGGGACAACACTCCGAACACTTCAGGTTGGAGAAATTGCCAGGGGCTGGACACTGCCCCCATGATGAAGCGCCAGAGTTGGTTCATGAAATTATGCTGCCGTGGTTGAGGGATATAGTACATGAAACGAGCCAACAACCATCCATGAAGAAAAACAGCACCGGAGTGTCTCTTTGAAGCCGCAAAAACAACCAAATACCTACCATACCGTGTTTGGCAATGAATTAGGGACCCGAAAGTAATTAATTATGCGTAGTCTATGGTAGCCGTAGTAGAAGGCGATAGAAGTTAGCATCAAGCCAGCTGATAGTGGTATTATAATAAGCTGCTACAAGCTGCAGGTTGTTTGGCAAGGCAACAGCAAGACACATGTAAACAACGCAATTGCCCTCAACGGACTGAGGGTCTTTCACACTTTTTGCCCTCAACCGACTGAGGGTCTTTCACACTTTTATCGCTGTATGTGCAAGTTAGTCTGTACGTCCGGCATAAAGGATGGGGTAAATAATAATTGTTAGTTGGTAAAATATACTCCGAGTACCAAACTATGTGTGTGTGTCGGAGGGTCCTGGACCCATGGGTACCGATACCACTGTGCCCGTTCTGGCTGGCTATGGAGACTTGCTATCAATAGTGTGTCCAGTTGAACACGGTAAATGATTTGACCAATCAAATCTCTTTTTGACAGTTGAGGGCATCAGCCTCCAGCTGCTTGTTCTTTTCCCACAACACAACAGAGTGGACAGGACTCGACTGTCACTCTATCAAAGCAAATTATTTTGTTTAGCTCTGCACTTTTCCCGTTAGCAGGAACGACCATACCACGATGACAGCACCGCTTCCCGTCTGCTCAGCGAAGTTAAGCATCGTCGGGCCAGGTTAGTACTACGGTGGCGGACCACGTTGGAATCCCTGGTGTTTTTCTTTTACTTTTTATTACTGCCTCAGGCTCTACTAGCTATCGTACCGGTAGTACATCTTGCGCGCATGGGCATGAAAGCAAAAGCTTGCTAGCTAATAGGCGGGCATTGGACATGCAGCTCTTGGTGGCGACGGCTGCTTTCTGTCCGACACAAGCAGAGAGGGTTGAGAAGGATACTCAACACTACGCTGCGAGCAAATCCTTTCAGAGAGCATGATTTCTCCTTGAGTGATTAGGCTTTGGTTTAGTGGAAAGAGAGCGGTGAAGTCAGGAGTGCGATTGACGAAGCGACGAAAAATCAGAGCGCGGTGAAGCAAACGAACACAGAGGGAAAGACTAAAAAACGAGGTGCCCCCTCTGATAATGACACCGGAGGAGAGGAATGAAAGCAGTTGGCATTGGGAGGTGTTGGCTCAATTCTCAGACCAAGTTGTGGTACGCGTACTTGAACACCGTGACCGGCCCATCTTGAGCATTGTCACTCGTATCGCATAAGGTGAAAAGTTTCAACTGGCGGTACATGTATAGCATCGAGTACAGGTGTTCGGCTAGACCAGCATTTATGTTCATAAGTTGTTGTTCACTGGAGGAAAGAAGGGAAGAATCTCTCCAAAGCACAACATCGTACACCTTTCGTCTACCGTAAATTGTTGTTGTATTCGTGCAACCATGCATCCTCCCTTCTTGCCATTTAGATTGACTTCATAGAGTAGAGTTTCAAAGAGAACTGGGCCAAGATGGAGAGCATCAGCATCATGCCCAAGACAGTGGGAGCAGTGGTGTCATCATACGGACCAGGAAGCCTGTTTCGGATCATGTAAGCCCTGCGAGCATCTGTCAACATGGAAAAGTGTTCCAAACAAAACGGGGTTTGGTAAGATCAATCAACAATACACCACCAATCACATTTTCTTTGAAACGGGTAAACGGAATGTTGCTAGCATTTGGTAGAGCTGGTTGACGTACATTGGTACATGGCATGAACAATGAATGCAACGGCCACGGGAAGCAGAATAACTCCATATATCTGAGAAAAGGGGTTTTGATCCTCTGCAAAGGCCAAAATTGCAATGGAAGCTCCAGCAAGCATGACGGAGAGATGCATCCAGGCCAAGAAGGTACGTTCGTTGGCGAAAAACACCTTGGGTTCAACCTGTTCAAAACAAAACCAAAACAAGTCGGTTAGATCAATAAACAATCAATGATCTTCTTTCTTCGGTTGAGGAACATGCTGACAGACCTTGACAGGAGCCTTGCGAGGCTTGATCATGTTGGAAGCTTCAGCACGTTTAGCACCACTATTACCACCACCACCAAAGAGACCCGAAAGGAAACTCCCACCGCTACCGGTACCACTAGTAGTTGTTGTTGCTGGTTGGGTAGGAGTTCCCTTGCGGCTTTTCTGTGATCGCAGATTGAAAGATGAGCAAAACAAAAAAGAGTCCGAGAGTGAGCAAGCTGTTGGCTGAAACACAATTTCCTTCAATCAAACGCACCACAGCAGGGCTTCCAATCACTCGAGGAGCAAATTCTTCTGGAGTTGATCCACTTGGAAGAGTCTCGTGTACTGGACCTCCGTCAGCATCTCGGACGGATTCCGTAGTTCCTCCTTGTTGACTACCATCCTTCAGAAAATAGTACTTGCTGGACTCAATTCCACCAGCGTTGGAAGGCAAAAGAGGGGTCTTCTCGTTGGACATGGTTGCCTAAAATAAATTATTGGTCAAAGGGAGCTGCTGCTTGTTGCTGGAGCCGGAAGAAGCCTTCCAAAAAGATGAGAGTGACAGTCGAGTGACTACCAGGTACCACCGGTAGCGAAGTGTTGGTGTTGGGTGCAGTTTCGGTGGTGGTAATGCAGACTGGACGGTTCGGTAGGTTGCACCGTACAGGATGAATCTTTGGAGAATCTTCTTTTTGTTTCTTTTTCCCCGTACCGGTACATTGGCGGAAGCAACCACCCATGCACACACACTGCTGGTGGGCAATGGCGGTGGGGTTGGTTGCCCTACATGTACTAGCTAGTACTGTAGCTTGGTGTACCAGTCTACCTTTCCCCCGGCCACAAATTTAGTTTAAGTTAAGCCCAACCAAGGGACTGCTACACGGCTAGCCAGCACATCCAGCCAGTTGCCTGTTAGTTATTAGGTCCATGATCTGACCACATCCTCCATATTATAATCCACATTCTCATCCACCATCCACCACAATGGTTGGTTGGTTAACTTGCCTCCAGTGACAATTTTAAAGGTTGGGTAACACCGGATGCCCAAATGGGCAGAGCATCCCACGTAGGACCGGCATTTACTGATATGCATACACGACAATGTGTGTCCTCGCCTCTTCCAAACAAATTGTTTGACGCTACCAAGCTATGAAGACCCCCACAATAGTTGAGCAGCATAGACATCGATTGGTGCCATCATACCCCCAGCTAGGTATCACCCGCAGCACAGAGCGCGTAAGCCGTTCTTCGGTAACCATGCACTGCCTTCAACCGGTTCATTTGTTCCTACAGTACGATACAGAATAAAAGAAAGATAAACATACGTAATATGCAATTAAAAGTTATTCTGCTGGCTGCATCATTGTAGCTCCGTGATTATACACGTACAACCCAGTTGAGGAATCGACCATTGATACAATGCATTTCCTTTTGCTCTTGGTTGATCCAACAGGGGCAGCACTCTGACTGTACTTGTGTTCCGCTATTGTTGCGTTGTTTTAGCTAGTGTTGTTTGTTTATTTCTTGGCCGCAGGCTTGCGGTTGTGTTGCATGTGAGCCGCCACCAAAGTGTTGGCTGCCAATGCGGCCAAAAGACTCAATTCCCCGGCCATGACGGTAGCGGCGACAACAGTCGCCAGCTTTTGAGCATTCTCACCGGGACTAGCTCCACCTCCTCGGCATCCAATGGCTTCCAGGCATGCGGCTTGAGCAGGCAGGGATGTTCCTCCTCCGACAGTGCCGACTTCAATGGAAGGCATGGTACAACTGATCCAGAGATCACCAGTGCTTTCCTCTTCCTCCATCAACGTGATGCAGTTGCTGGATTCCACGTTTTGGGCAGGGTCTTGTCCAGTGGCCAAGAACACGGCAGAGACCATGTTGGAAGCGTGAGCATTGAATCCTCCAATAGTGGCGGCCATTGCAGATCCAATGAGATTCTTGTTGAGGTTGGTTGCGACAATAGCCCTGACGGTGGTTTTCAGCGTTTTTTGTACAACTTCCTTGGGGATGATGGCTTCTACAACGACACTCTTTCCTCGTCCTTCCAACCAGTTGGTAGCAGCGGCCTTTTTGTCAGTACACATGTTACCACTCAAAGCGACGAGCTTGAGCGAGGGAAATTCCTTTTGCAGCAGCTCAATGGCGGCCAGGGATCCCTTGGAAACCATGTTCATTCCCATGGCATCTCCCGAGAAACAAACGAGTCGAAGATAAACATTCTTTCCTGCGACGGTAGGATTGCACGCTCGCAACTTTCCAAACGAAGTTGTGGATTCAAAGGCAGCCTTGAGTTTGGCAAAGTTTTCGGGTTTCTCGCACCAGACCTTCAATTTGGCTGCTTCTACGGCGGAGTTCATGCGGACACAGGGGGCACGGGTAATTCCATCGCGGACAATGACGGCTTCAGCGCCCCCTCCTTGGGTAATGGCCTTGGCACCACGGTTGGTAGAAGCCACGAGACATCCTTCGGTAGTGGCCATGGGTACAAAGACAGATTCTCCATTGAGGGTCAAGGGACCGACTAGGCCAACAGGAAGAGGCACATATCCGACGACAATTTCGCAGTTAGCGCCGTAGACCCTTCCATAATCCAAAGAAGGCTCAGAAGGCAACTTCTCGAGGGCACCGCCATTTCCCAACGCTTCCAATTTGGTGTTGCATGCCAATCGTCGCACATCCACGGCTCGGAAAGGGTCCAATCGTTTTTCCAATTCGTGATCCCGAATGACATTGCTGACAACAAGTTGGGCAATTTCTTCGTTTGGAAGTTCCTTTAGGTTGGAAGGAACAGCGGGCTTGCTACTGGGTGTTGCTGGAGTCCTTTTATCGGAGCAGACTGGAGTGGATGCTGCGGGTGGCAAGACCTTTTTCGCAGGTTTGCTAGGGCCCGAGTAGGGTACTTCTTTGGTCTTTTTGGAGGTGATGTTGTTGCTTTTGCTAGTGCTAGTGCTGCCCTTTCCCAACAACGTGCTGCCGTTGCTGCCCGTCCCCAACAAGGCACAACAAAAGACCAAAGTCGAAGCCACAATCAGGGCATACATCTGCAGTGCTGGCATCTCATTCAAATCAGCAACGAACGCATCGAGGCGTTGACCTATAGTAGCGGATTCGACAATCATTGTATCGGCTGTACAGCATAGGTAGAACAGAGAAAAATGAATGAATCAGAACACAATCAAAGAGTAGACAAAGCCAACAGTCAGTCCGTTAGCCATCAGTCAATCAATGCTGATGCCAACGGACCCTCAGGCTAGACGTCATGGCAAATTTCCATCGCTCTTACCCATTGTAAAATTTAAATGTGTGTGTAGAGTAAGAAGTTCTTTGGTTGTTTTTATGAAAGATCTTGGTCTGATGATGATGATGATGTCTGTGAGAAGAAAGACTTTGCTTCCAGCGTTGGTCTTGGAGGTTTATCAAAAGTGCGTTCAAGTGTGTTCTGGTTACCAGTATTTCCACCGCCGCCTTGGGGGTTGAGTGATGGTGTTGACCGGCAACGTGTCTGCTGTGATATCGCACACCCGCTTGTAACAGCAAGCCAATTTTGTTACATCTCTGCTTTCGGAATACATCCTTGTTCGAAAGAAAACCGGCCAGGCGTCGGTTGATTAAACCAAATAATTCGCACAGGCAAGCTCTTTTTACTCGCGACCAAGGACTGAGAGCACTCAGGCCCGGATCGTAAACATTGCTTGGCTCGGTCAGGAACCCGGGTGGCCAGGTGCACCACGGGGCAATGCCATTTTACATCACTGGTGGGCTGGTGGGCCAATGACCCTGCATTGCTGCTTGGCTCGGAAAGGACCCGGCTTGGATAGGTACGGCATCAGGTACCGTAGCCATCCCGCTTCGTGAGTGTCGATGAACTCCATGGACCATGGACCATGGATCCTCAGAGCTCAGATGCATGATCCCTCTCTGGTACTACCTACCTGGTATTTAGTTTTAGACTAGAACGTCTGCTAGTCGATACATGCATGCTACCGGTATCTTTTTGGACATCCTGCGTCAACAACCCATCTATTAGTACAGTACGGATGGTACCAATAAACTGTGCAAAAGCGGCCCTACAGCTAGGCAAGCAGATATTGGTAGCTTGCTTTTGTAGCCAGGCATAGGTCGGCCGATCATGTATTTACCGGGACCGGGACCGGTACTGGTACATACATTGTCATGTAGTGGGCAAATGGGGCTCTCGCCCCGTACCGGCGCCAGCCTAACCACGGCGTTCCGGTTGTTCCGGTTGCTAGCCAGCTGCTAGCCGACGGCAGTTGCAGCCAGCACAACATAACAGAGCTCCATACGGCATGCGATCACATTTTAGACTACTAGATCTACTCCCAGCTTTCCGCAATCGCTTTGAACCTTGTGACTCGACCGTCACTCGACTCCCGCGGCTCTAAGCCTGCCTGGGATCTTGCATTTCGATCATGAAGAGCATCCAATGGCACCATGATACCGTGCCGAGCACGGGCAATGGCACCAAGATACCGTGCCGAGCGATGAGGACTACCATATGCATACATGTAACTAAAAAGAGCTTGAACCTTACGGTACACTACAAGTCGCGCCAAGATACTTTGTTTGCTTCCTCTTTCAACTAACCTGGGTACTAATAACTAATAACTTGCACATGCACAGTCGCACCAAGAGTCGAGTCTGCTTTGCCGTGCTCTTCAAGACCGCCAGGTTCAATAAACGCGAAGGGGTCGAGGGACATCCCTCGGTTACATTGCCTCTGGTTCTGTACATACCGGTATACCGTAGAGGCGAGCTATGGCACTGTGTAACAACTTCGCTCGGGCAATATGGTGCTCGCTTTCAACGAGCTGAGCCCAAGATGTTTGTAGTGCGCTCGTAAAGTACCAGTACCGGTAGATGTGACTAGCGATAGTTCCTTGCTGTTGGCTTGGTAATGATATCGTGCAATGTTCAAGCATTTACACAACTTGCTAGCTCTTGCTAGAACATACCGATATCTTAGTCTACTCAATTATGATCATGTGAAAAACGAAACACTCCTAGGTCACACTTCGTACTGTGGAGGCCATCCACTACGCCAACACAGGGCGACCTCATCGATTATCCTTCTTTTCATCGTGCATCGCTTCCATGTTGCTATCGAGGAACTTGAAGCGCTCTTGTCGAATCTTGCGCCATTGTTTCTTGGATGCTCTGACTTCTCTCTTTACATTTTCTTCCTCTTCTCGTTCCTTCTTGTTGGGGTCCATGATCATCTCGAGTGCCTCCGCGGGGGCAGAGATCACCGAGTCCCAAAGAGTCTTTTCCGCTTCCTCAGTTTCCTCGGCGCGACGAAATTCTGAGAGAACACCAACAGTGTGTGAGAGTGAGCACAAGGTATAAAGTTTGAACAGCTTGTCTACACAACGCGCAAAAAATCATATTCGTACCTGCTTGTTCGACCTTTTTGTACGCTTCTTCTGCTTCTGCGCGTTTTCCTTGCTTGCGAAGGGCTTCTGCTAGATACTTGTAGAGGACGATTGTTTCGTGATGGTCGGGCCCAATATCGGGAGACTCAGTACGAAGACGGATCAACTGTTTCAGAGTCGTCTCTGCCCAGACATCCAAGCCGTGCTTCAGGAAGAGACCAGCTTCGGCAAAGTAGTCCAGTATGTGCTTTTCGTGGTACCACTCCAAGTTTTCCAGAGGGGTACCCACCACTGCCTCTTCTGCCATCACAATCAGTTCGGCACGTGTCTTTCGGTCGAGACCATCGAGACTATCGTAGGGGTCTGGGAAGGAGTCAGTGTTGTATTCCACGCAATGGCGGTAGTGGCGGAACCCGTCAATTCCACAGACACTCCAGAGTGGCCACAGGTGTACTTGGATCTCGCAAATGTGGTCCTTCAGCTCGAGGTTGATGATGCAATCACGATAACCTCCGGGCTTTGGGTTCTTGTCAGATTTCAGGCTGGACATCTTCACACGACGAATCAGTGGTCCGAACGAGTCGCGCGCCAGCTCCAGGAGAGCCAAGAGGGAAGGGAAATCTTTCACCACTAGCAAAGAACGACAGTAATCAGTGACCTTCAGGAGATCTCCTCCGTATTTGGCGTCTGCCTTTTTAATTGCCGTTCTTGGATCCTTTACTGGACCCACGCCGACCTCTTCAATACCAAGACTTCCTGCCAGTGCTTTGCAGATTTCCACCAAGCTTGGCATAGTCTCTTCGGCCTTCCGACACAAGTCCTTGGCCATCTCCAGCTTTGTCATTCGAATGTACTGCGGCAAATCTTTTTGCGTCACTAACTTGTCCACGTTTTCGCGGCTGGCTGAAGTTTGATCATCACCTGAAAGGAAACACAAGTCAGTTAAGCAACGAGAAACGGTTAGCCCATGGACCGGCTTCGACGAATTTAGCAAGGCTCTTCCGCGCTGGTTACGTACCAGGATCGTTGAGCCCAGTCATTGAGTTCAAGTAGGGGTATACTGGATCAAGCTGCATTCGTCTGAAAACTTCATCATACTTGTGTTTGTCTCGCAGCAAGCTGCAAATCATTCGATAAAAGTCCCAAGAGTCCTTGATGACGGCTCGTCGCTTGGCTACGGACTCCAAGGCTTCCTTTTCTTCACCACCGTTTAGGTTTTGCAGTTCGATTGATGTATAGATTCCAGCCGAACCAGCCCCAGCATTTCGATTGGACTTCTTTTTATCGAGTTTTCCGGCTCTGATCAATCGATTGGAATACTTTGCTAGATTCAAGTATTGGTCCTCGACCTGCTGTCCCCTTTTCTTGCTACTCATGGTCATCGAGGTGGCCTCGTCACCCTAAAACGAGTGTCACAAACTGGTCAGTGGATGTCTGCAATGTCCAAAGACTCCAAGTACTTCAACGCAACAAGCAATACATAGCCTTACCAGCGCATTGTTCCCTCCTAGGACCATATCCAGTACCTCCAACCATGCAATTGCAGTTCGTTGTTCACAAGCCACCAGAGAGGCTCGTGTTCCATCTTCGCCCACCAGATCCATTCCACGTCGTGACCTATCATTGCTAGGCGATGCACCCACAACGACAAGTTCTCTGACTAATGCATCAGTGTCGGTATTTGTGTGCGGCTGAGATAATAGCTCAAGTCGTCGGGTTGAAGTGTTCAATCTGTAGATGAGGATCCCTTCTGGGACTTTTCCGTACCGGTTTTCTCGTCGTTGCTGTTTTTCATCTTTAACCTTTTCACCCGGGTCGTGGACTTGCTCTGCAATAGGTCTTGGTTCTGCAACTTCCTCATCTCTAAGCTCGATCAATTTTCCGTTGTAATCCACTTCGAATGGATCTTCTCGAATATTCTCCGAGACCTGGTTTTTCACGCTCCATTTACAACACCAAAAACCTCGATAGGAATGATCTTCTACTACCGTCTTGGTGTGTCGGATACCCTTTTGGCCTGGCTGGAGAAGAGGCGTTTGCGGTTTCGCTGGAACAAATGACTGCGTTTCCTTATCAAACTGTATTGTCGGGTCTTCGAGGTCGGCCATGAGAGATTGAGAAGCCTTTAATTCGATGGCATTCTTGCCTTGGCCGTCCGGTGGTGGCCACTGGTAGGCTGGATCCACAAAAGCTGCCTCTAAAATAGTTCCAGAAACTTGAGCGTCATCGCCATTGCCAGGCATGACATCGCCATCAGCAGAGTACTCTGTTCCGGGTTGACTTTCCTCCATGACACCAGGTTCCTCTGGAGTCATCATCGTGGCAAGTCGGTGGCTCAACCTGGAGGTGGTAGCAGATGTAATCCAAGTTTATAGAGAAAATGGCTGGCTCCTTTCCTCTTCCGTGACTTCCGAGTTCAGGACAGCGGAGTGAGCTTCAATTTGTATACTGGCTCTCTTCTGCTCGTTGGAAAAAAGGATGCAACTGTAGAGTGAAGGGAAGTCAACAGCGTTCGAGAGAAAATTTTCGGCCAACAAAATGAAGCTTGCTAGCTTGCGTGCCCGTTTCTGACGCCCCTTCCGACTTTGGCCTTTCAATCAATTTTGTTTCGGCATTCACGAGCTGACGAAACATTGATATTTATACAGCCATGAGAATAGCATTCAATTCAGCCGTTGAAAGCCTCCCACGGGACGCACTCTCGCTCCTCTTTCAAGTCTTTACTTTGCGTCGGCTTTACCATGTAGTTTCTCTCTCCCTCCACCTTTGGAGAGCAGGACACATACATGTACATGTTGCGATGTTGATACTATGTTGATCCATGTGTTGGCTTTCACGTGCAAAGCTTAGCGATCTTACCATCATCAAAGACTTTTGGTACGATTTGCCATAGTGTAGACTGTGCGAAGGTAACTCTTGGTCTGAGAATTAACGAAGTCAGAGCATGTGACAGATGTTTTTGACATCTAGATGCTCTGACTCCCGCAGATATTGCCGTCTAGATGGTCTGGCTTCCCGCAGCAGATATTGGCTTTGATACAGTGCTTGGTGCAACAGTTTTCACTTCCAAGTTTAGTAGCTCTGTCAGCTGGTTGCAGGAGGCTATCTATCTCCTGGCCGGGCTTTTCCATCCTCGCTGTCTATTTTAGCTGCATCCCTCCTGCACAAGTTGAGTTGAGTCCACCAAACGACTCCCGAGGCACGCATTCAGGCTCCACACTAACAAGTTGGTAAACGAAGGGTTGCTTCAGGATAATCCAGGCTTAGAAGGCAGATATTACTACATCTAACTACAAGAAGGGTTTGTTCATAGCACTGATAATATGTTGCAAGATGAGGGCGTCGTATGAATATCAAATGGCTCAGTCTCAGGTGATGCAGTCGCGTTCAGTAACAGATGATAGAGCTCTCCTTCCTTGGGCGATAACGACAAGACAGTAGTAAACAAACTGCCCGTGACATCTGGACACATACATCAGCAAACAACCTGGGTAAGCTCACGGCGGCGCACAAGCTTAGCTCAAATAGGCATGTTGCTCAAACAGCTTGTCTTCTGTGGCTGACGTTCTCGGGAGGATGGAGGCAAGCTTCGTCCCATTCTGCAAACTCGTCTTCTTCCTTCGGAGCGAGAAACTCTGTTTCAAAGCGATCATACTCTGGCCGACGTGTGTTGGAATAGGCCAGTTTGTAATGTGGATTCGCGAACTTGACTTGCTGCGTCGATGCCTTGGGATGCTTGGGAATAGTGTATCTGTCTCCTTTGCGCCAAAACTCGCTATCATCGAGGCTGCTCCAACCTACACTCGTATCCGAGTCTTCGTGTACCTTGTGCCGGACTTGAGGCCGTTCCTTCAAGGCTGCTGGCTGATGCTGTCTTTGAGTGCGAGATCTACCCGAGGATTTGCTGCTGCCGCTGCTTACACTAGGCTTGGGCTTGAGCAAACGTGGGTTTACCTTGCCGGTTGGAGATGGTACCGACAGTTTCGACTCTGGAGAAGGCGCCCTGTCTGCCATGGGATACAGGTTCTCCTTCTTCATGACCCCGCTAGCCGCAATACCATGTCGTCTCCACCATGACCGACCCCGAGCGTCATCTTCAGGCTTGGGGACGTGAATACTGCAGGCTAGGGTTGGATCAAATTCCCCAATCGAGTCTCCGTCCGAGTCGCTGTCAGGATGTCGTGTCGACCGCGATCCATTTCTTGATCGCGCCGGTTTATCAGAAACAAACTCGGATAGTAAAAGATCATCCAGAGCTTGTTTTACAGCTGTCTTGTCCTCGTCGCTGATTGTGAAAAACTTTCCGAGTCGGTTCATCAGGTCGGGGAATGAACCCTGAGATTGTTGACTCTTGTGTGGGCCAATGGATCCTCCATCGTCGAATGCATCTAGATCAAAGGTACTACTGCAATCGTCAGAATAAGACGTTTCATCATCGTCACTTCCATCATCGTCTTCTTCATCTGCAACTACCCTTCGTCCACGATCACCCATCACTGATTCATCAATCCAAGCATCCAGTTCCTTGACCAACGCCTCCTTTTGATCATCCCGATGCAGAGCATTGGCCACAAAGGTGAGGGCATTCATGATCTTGTCTCTTGGTACTCGCTTCCCGGCATTACCAGCCGCGGCCAGCTCCAGCTCCATTTTCTGCAGTGCTTGTCGGACTCCTCGGATAGATTCATTGCCTAGCGACTCTTGGCGAATAATGGCCGCAGGGGCACTCAAATCACTGACACGACTTTGTGAGCCCACTTCAATCATACCGGTAACAGACTGTGATGAGTGACCAGAATTCGACCCAAAGAGAAAATGAGGCTTTGGTTTTGGTGGTGGATCTTCCTTGGCAGGGATGATCTTGATTGGATCCCCAGTTCGCTTGCTTCCACCAGACTGTTGGCTCGACTTGGAACTTGCACGGAGAGATGAGGGAGCACCACGAGTGGCTCGTTCTCGGGAACGTCCTCGCTCTAGAGCCTTCGGAGGTGTGTGCATGTCGTTGGTGGTGGTGGTAGAAGTTGACGAAGACCCAGATGACTTGCAACCTCGGATTAAGAGTCCCATCTGCTTGGTACTTCTGGCTGGTGAAGGAGGCTGGGGAGGAGGAGGAATAGGCGAACTCTTGGAAGGTCGCATGAAACGATCACGGAAGCTCTTTCTTCGATTGCCAGCGGCAAGCTTTTGCTGTCTCTCCATAAAGCGACGAGCTGCCGCTTGTGCGCTGTAGACAGGTGGATCTTCGGTGCTTCCAGTGGACGAGGCGGCGAGATCCGGGATGATTTCATCTTTTCGGTACGGTTTCTCTCCTTGACTGCCATTCCCTTGACTCTTTGCGCCACCAAAGTCCAATGAAGAGGACTCGAGAACTACTTCAATTTCGGCGACATCATCTGGTTGGCCATGTGGGGCTCGATCTCGGTCCTCGGGTGCATTCAATTGTTTCAGGTAAGCTTCTTCCTTTTGACGTATCTCTGCAACAAGGGTATCGGCACGTTTTCGTCTCCGGAAGGGTGACTTGCTCCGAACTCGTCGGACAAAGTTCTTTGCTGCAGACTTCATGGCCGAAAATTTCGATCAAAGAGCAACAAACCAAAACAATGAATTGAAACACCACGGCGAAGAGAGCCCTACTTGTATTGTGGATTGTTAGCTTCTAGGCAGGTTCAATCGTGAGGCAAGAGTCGGAACGAGATGACTATTGTTACCACATTAACTGATGGATGATGAGAAGGCGTTGTTGACTATCAGACAACGCATTTAAACACACAACACACACGAGATGATCGTTCTTTCCTGATTCCAGGAATCCTGGGTGGCATGTAAGCTGAACCCGCTTGGGATTGAGCTTTCGCGCTGATACAATTGTACGTTCGTGTGCTGCCAGTCGGCGACTTAGAGGGGGGTATCCTAAATACTATACTGGTAGCCAGCGCGCTCACCAAATTTTTGGTTAACTAGGAGTTTGGATGGCTCGTTCCACTTCTACACATACAGTTTGGCTGTAACCGGTCGGATGATCCGTGGTGTGGCCCTAAAATTTTGAAGCTGAAGTCCATCCGTTATTGTTGTTGCCAATCTGGACCATCTGGACACATTGCGCCTCTCCACCTCTCCACTTTCGTTCCATATTGTACAGACAGAGTACTTTGACTGGGAGTCGAGTTGAGTGAGTCCACATAGCTAGCTCGCGACGACAGCTATCCGTTTTAGTCGCGGCTGTTGCCATCCAGAATGAACGAATCGTTGAGGCACAGAGAGGGGAAATTAGGAAGATTTTAGGCGTTGGCAGCAGCTCCAGGCATGTATACATATTCGCCCAAGGAGTAAAGACAGAAATCAACTCTCTCAACAATGACATTTACTGCAGGATTATGTATGCATTTGGTTAGCATGCCGATTTGTTTGGCAAAAGTCGATCACTTTGGGCTTTCTTCCTTTCATCGTTACATGTCTGCGTTGCAACGAACTGAACATACGGTAGGATTGGTCCATCGGTAGCAGCATCCTAAGCCGATTGGACTGATCTACGAGCTCTTTGAAGGGTATGCCTCAGCCAAGGTCCTCCGCGCAATGCTTGCTCCTTCCAGGCAATGAGTAGAGGTTGCGAATTGCGAAAAAAACACCCCAAACAGCCAGTTTATTGATTAGAAATTGAAATCTGATCCTTTGACCGGGAGTCGTTTGACGCAATTGAATGATCTCGCTCCTACTGCAATGCCTACGGCGTAGTTGCTAAAACGAACAGTTGTCACTCATGGACCAAGACAAGGGCAACTCGCCCAGTGCATTGCCTCACTACCCTGCAGTTTACACTAGCGGTGAAACAACAAGAAAAAGGCCATGAAGACTTGTTTGCTTCCTCCACCAACCGGCCTGGTACATCACACCAGCACGGGGGGCACCATTGGCCCCACGACGAAGGTGCCCCGTCAGGTGTTCGTAGATAGATCTCAAAGACAAGGCGCTAGTGAGTTGTTGTGGTAAGTAAGAAAGGAACAGCGTTCGCCCATAAGAATGATTTGGAAGTCTTTTTCAAATGTTGTTCTCCAAAAACCATAATGTTTGTCTTTGGCGTTGAGTTGGGGGATTGTGTCGTGTGGGCTGTCGGCAGATGATATCGCCTCCTAAAAAGTAGCTTCAGCTTCACCATCATCACCAGCACTTTCATCGTCACTGGCAAAGTAATCCTTGGTGTAGTCTTCCACTTCTTCCTCGTCATCGTCCGGTGCAACCTCATCGCTCAAATTGCCATCGTTTTCCCCCTCTTCTTCCAAATTGTTGGCCCGTTGCGCATCTTCTCGTTTTCGAACACGTTCCTTGTGTTCCAGTTCTTCCAAAGTTGGCTTTTTGTTCTTGTGGTCGCCATCGTCTCCGCCTGTACCACCATCCTCCAAGGATCGCTTCTTCCTGCGATTTGGTACCAAATCAGCTGGAGTGTAAGCCTCATCGGCGGCCAAATTCTTGCCCATTTGTTCCAAGACGGCAACATCCACTGATACTGGTTGTCTACTGCCTCCTCGATGAGATTTCTTGTCGCTTTGATAGCGGACCACATCCACTTGAGTTTGACTGCGTCGTATCCAATGCGCCGAATTTTGAATGCGATGATCAATTTCGCGACCCTTGTTGATGAGGTAGGTAGATTGTTTGAGTTTACTTTCGTTGGTTGATTGATGATCTTGATAATTCCAGGGCATTTCTGGGAAGAGAGCGGGCTTGGTGATATCCGTCAAGGATTTCAGATTCTGATCCCCCAGGCCTGATTCTTGTGCCGATCGCATTAGCAAGAGTTTGGCTCCACTGGGGGGAGCACCCCGGCCACGTCCACGGCCTCTGCCTCGACCAGACATGGTGACACAAATTAGACAACAGAAAGGATTGTCGGTAGAAAAGGTACCAGAAGCCAGAAGTACGGGAAGATGATGGAAGATGGGGAAAGGCACAGGTACCTGGTACGAGGGAGCGGTAGCAGTTCGAGAGGTAACAAAGGGTATCTTTCTTGAAAGCTCTTCTTCCGGCTGGGATATCAGATAATGGTCCAGAAGAAGCAATCAATGGGCAGGGCAGTTCAAGCAGAAGCTTTGAAGGATCAGAAGAGCTACCCGAAGCGTCACGTTTGAGGTTATCGTGTCGGTGTGTTGAGTGGTGCTGAAGGCTGCTGGGATTGATCACGGGGATTAGCTGGAAGATCCAATAGTTACAGCGTACCCAGGCTCACTACTAGTAGATTACTTCACCTCCCTCAAAATTGAGGCATAATTTGAGGCTTAAATAGGGTTAGAGAGGGTGGTACGTCATAGAGATGCATGTGTAATTGAATTGCGTCAGTGACGATGAGAACGGTTTTGCTTACGCTTCAACACCAATGCATGTTACATGTACTAGTAGTGATGTACTACCGGTAGCCAGAGCCTGGAGAAGGAAGCAAAGATCCTAAAAACCAACGATAGGAGGGCAAGAGAGCTTGTTGCCACGGGTGCACCTAAACCTGCCTTCAAAGTGCCTTCATTATTTTCTTCCCCTCTTGAGTGAACGTCAACAGAATCCTTTCTTTCAGGTATGATCGTGTGTCAGTGTCAACATGAATTTGTGTCGCAGAATATAGCCATGGTGGAGTGGGGGAGATGAAGGGTGTTGAAGGCAAGCTTGAGATTGGCAGGAAACTCCACAGGATTAACTTGCTTTGTGGCCGGTCCAAGGAAGTCGCCGGTATCGAAGTGACCACCTTGAAGGCAGACCAGTCGCAGTGGGCTCGGATGTGACTGACCATTCAGGTGCTGTCTAAGTGCCATCCCTTGGCAGCCACGATACCCGACCTCAGCCCGCCTGCCTGCTTCTGCATTGGCAGGAAGAACCCCTTCTCTCAGCCTCCCATTTCCACCCATGGTTTGGTTTTTCTTTTGTGGGGAACGAATGTTTTTATTTATTCTTCCGGGCGTCCATTCTTGCGACAGGGTGTTACCGTTCGTCTTTTTTCCTGGTTGTTACTGCGGTACTTGTTGGACTCGATGTTTCGGCATCCTGATCACGTTCTGTGGTGCTTCTGGGAGGATGGATTCACTTGGGTTTTATCCCTTACTATTGGGCGCAATATTAATTCTGCTTCCATTTGAGTATGCCCTGTCTCTAGTACAATGGGCAAAGGCATAATTCGGAATGCAGACAAGCAGTTTGTGGAAATGATATTTGCATGTTTTCAGGATGTTGTTTGCACTGTATCGGTGCTGTTTTATTTCTGTTTGCGTCAAATTCCTCTGCATTTCAATTTCTCACACTATTTTTTCCTTGCGTTTCCTTTTCCATCCACCAAAGAAATTATTTTCAACCATGAGCGGACTCTGGGCACGTTACAATAAGTTGTTGGAGGCGCAACCCTTGTTGACCAAGGCTTTGACGTCTCTTACTGGATTCACCGCGGGTGATCTCCTGGCCCAAAACTTTGTTGAGGGAGGAGACAAGCCATACGATGTCATGCGTACCATCCGTCTTGGATCTTTCGGATTCTTGCTCCACGGAACCACCGGTCACTACTTTTATGGTTTCTTGGATTCCAAATTGCCCGGAACAAAGCCTGTCACCGTGGCCACCAAGGTTGCCATCGATCAGACCATCTGGAACCCCATCTTTGGGTGCATGTTCTTTGGATACCTCAACTTGATGGAAGGAAAGAGTTGGGAAACCTACACCAATAAAATCAAGGCCGATCTCAAGACCGCCGTCATGGGATCTTGGGCTGTGTGGGTCCCTGCTCACACCATCAACTTTGCCTTCATCCCCCCTTCGCAGCGTTTGCTGTACATCAACTCCATCCAGATTGGATACAATGTCTTCCTTTCCTTCCTTGGAAACAAGGAAGTTCCCGAAGAGGAAAAGAAGGAGTAAACCCATTCTGAAATCGATTGCTGTGCGCTCTGTCCTCAGTTGGAGAGGACGTTGGTGGAAATGTTTTTGCTCACACCGTTGAGGCGTGAAGAGGAATACAATTCAAAGATTGAATCATTCAGGTCTTGTGGACCGTGGATGTAAATGTAGAAGACCATGATACCTCTGGCTAAGAGAACTAATGAATTTATTTATTTGTAGCAAACCAAAAATGGAGCGAAATTCGCGTGAGCTGAATTTTGATTGAATTGGCTTCCATGAGCTCTAACCCTAGTCAAGCACGGTTGAGATGTTCTAAAGCAACTTGGACAGAAGACACCTCAACCGTACTAGTAGACCATTCCAGGACCATTGTTGCCTATCAGCAGCCCGGCTCCTGATTTGACTTTATGGGGGGGTTAGGCAGCAGCGCGGGGGAGGGAAAAGAAAAAAGAAAGGGAGAGGGTTATCAGTTGGATTCCGAATTCCACCGTTGAGAGCCTGCCAGCACACGAGATGCCAGTAAACGGTCACCGGGACTTCATATTACTTATAGCGAAGAGGGGAAACGGCAATGACTACTCTTATCCTTTAATTCTTTCCCCCTAAGACATCCGAAGAACAAGAAAATACGTCATGATGTATGTCAACGATGTCAACGTTCAATCGATTCAAATCTTCCAACGCATACCTCGCTGGCTCATCTTTCCCATTCCTTCGCTTGCACCAAACCTTCCCATTATTTTCGAAAAACCACCGAAACTCTGGCTCGATCGCTCCTCGCTCCTCCGACAACAACAACAGCAAGAACTGGAGATCTCGACAATGAGGATCAGTACTAGTCCATGGTTTTCGAAGTGGCTGCTAACTGTTAGTCATGTGTACCCTTTGAATGAGCTGAGAGCAACAAGGAACGGATTCACCTGCAAGTACGTGATTGTGGAAGAGCACGATGGCAGTATAACGACGGACAAGTACACCTGTTTGCCGACCACCATGGCGTGACTAATTCTTGAGGAGATGATCGTTTGCAAGGAGATGCAAGCCTCTTCCTCCTGACATGACAGGCATCATGGACTACATGTTCGAACGCCGACTTCGGAACCCCAGAGTGGTACAGTACTGGTGTTGCTACCCTTTATGGAATGTTGGAGGGGCCGCGCCAATACCCCTGTGAAAGGAAGGATATGTTCATTGAGTGCATGTATTTGGTTAGTGAGGGAATGGATTATGGATAGCAGCTATGACTTTTACTCCAAGGAAGGACGGATGTGATGGATGCTTGGCATGGGTATTGTTCGCACTGGTATGACTACAACAACAAAATCTCCTTCAAGATATTGACTTTGATGAGTGAGACTTTTGTTGATGATTGCATTGAAGACATTGACAATCTTGGATTCTTGGAACCAGACAAAGCTGTGCATTGTGGAACTGCTATGTAAGTTACTGGCTAAATTAGAAATGAATTTGGTGCATCTAAATATTGACTGTTTGTTGCTACTTCCCATACCCAGTCAATCTTGATTGGCAATTATGATCATGAGGTGGTCTTCCTCTCTATGAGTCAACCACTGGCGTATCTCTGACAGCAGCCTCGGTGGAGGTGGCTGGAAGGAGATGGCAGTATTGGTTGAATTGCCGCATTTGCATGGCAAGTTGCATCATTTGAAGTTGTTGTTGTTGCTGGTATAGAATCAAATTGCCAACATAACATTTTTGTTTGTGGCACTGCAGGTGCTGGAGGTGGTGGTGGTGGCGGCGGCGGCGCGCCGGTGGAACCATTGCTGTTGCATCGATTGCTGGTGGATTTGGTGGCTCGATGCTGGTGAGTCGGTGGTTGTGGTTCTTACAAGCCACACACAAACAACAATCATTTGGTGCATACTTCTCTTGTGGTTTGAATGCAACAATGAACTCTGGAAAGAACCTCTCTCCATTATCCTGTGGCAAGGGCTCTGCATTTGGAAATGGTTTCGAACCACAGCGTGCCATTTCATTTAGGTAAGCCAACTTGAATGATTCCAGTAAGGTACAACCTTTTACCATCCGGCTGGAATTGACCTCCTCTCTGCTACACTGATTCTTGACGGAAGGCTCTCTTGTGTCTAATCTTGAGGTTTTATCTTGCAGTTCCAGCAAGAGTTGAGTGCATCAGCAAGGCTTCTTCTCATTCCACCATTGCCAAAATGGGCAAACTTGTCGTGGAATGCTTCTAACTTGATTCTCCTCTCCTTGATAGGTACTCTGGGAGGTTGTGCTTGGAATTGGGTGATGGTAGGATGTGTCATACATGTCTTCCATTGCCAGGGGATCAGCCAAGTGAGCCGCTTTGTCAACACAGTTCTCTACAGCTGGCTTGGTTCAGAAGTGAACAAGGTATAGTTCTTACTGGATCGAGTCGGCCCTGTCCTGGCTGGCTACCATCACTGGCTGTCACCTTGTACCTGCAGAACCACTGCTGTAACCTCTGCCTCATTGTCTCTGGTCCTCATCTCTTCCTTAGATACTTGGAGTACCGAGCTCTGAAGACCTTGGAGGCTTGCATGTCGGAGATCTCTGCCATGGAGTAGTGCTTGCCATTGGAGGACAAGAGCCATGTTTCAATGCATGGAGGACCTTCCATAGTCATCTGGTGAGTACTCATACAAGCAGTCCAAGAGGTCTCCCATTGCTTGAAAGTAACAATGTGACCCTTCCTCAAATTTGACAGAATCCTTTTCTCAAAATGGAACAGGCCAAGTCTCCCCTCGATACCTGGAAAGAGCAGCTCCCATAGTCATCCTTGTGGGGCAGGTATCCTGTACATGGCAGCTGGATTGAAGTGGCTCCTCCTTGCTAGCTGATGGCAGCATGGGAGAAGTGGTTTGTCTTGGTGGTGGGACCAAGAACAGCACATCAATCTCACCAGCTCTGTGGCAGCATCCCAAACAGACAGCAGCACCAAGACTCTTGCTGTAGTTCTTGATGACCTGGAATGTATGGTCTTGACAGAAGATTCCTTTGTTGCACTTGACACTTTGGATCTCTCTTGTGTGCCTTGGTTGTCACTGATCCTCCACGGATTCCTGTTTGAAGCACAAGCAGCATCATAGATGTCACGGATGGTGTCACCAAGAGGAGGAAACTGTCTGATGTAAGTGCCATCCTTTTGAAGAAAGGGATCAGGATCAGTGTCGCTTCCTGGCCAGTATGAGAAGTAAGACTAATGGCTCTAAGATACTCTCTGTTGTTGCGTTGTAGATGAGGCGGCTGATAGGTCTCATTTCCATAGGTTAACATGATAGAATCGAATAATTCTGTTGCTGTTTGCTCACAAATACAAGCCTTGTTAGGTAGAGCATACTTGGACTCCACTGGATAGAGCAATGCAGCATGGTCTGGGATCGAGACCACACTTCTGCAGAGTTGGCAATCGAATCTTCTGTTGCAGCTTCCACAAACCATGGACATGACCATACACCAAGAAGGAGGACCAGTGATGCAAAGATAGGTGAACAAGGTCTTGTTGTGTGACCAGTTTGTCCTTGTATTCTTGAGTTTGCCAGAGCATCTTCCATCGGGACAAGGAACTGATCAATCCACATCGATTCCAGTCCACCAGTAGGAGGTTTCTGCCCAACAATGGAGTGTAGTGAGGAGACTCAATTGTCTCCTTTGTGGATGGAATTGTCATGGTAAGACCTTCGAAGTGTTGGCTGATTAGGTCTTGATTCTTTGTCCTGGTAATGGATTCTGACACTGCTTCTGCCATTGCTAGCATTGCCAGTGGTGCTCCTTTGGTCTTGTGCTTTTCCACAAAGGCAGTATCCTTCACAAGAGTGGTTACCTTTTGACAAAGAGCTACTGGAGTGGCCATTGCTTAGCTTTGTTTGCTGGTTGCCGCCTGCTTTGGTTTGGCTGTGTTGGGTTCTAGCAGCAAAGAATGCTTCTCCATTCTCTCTTGTGGAATGATTCCAGCTTCCTCTCTCATTCAGTGGTTGAGGAGCACTGAATTGTCTGTTGAGTCTTCTGCTTTCTTTGTTTGTCTCCATGGTCAGCGCATTCAACGGTCCTTTTCCTTTTGTTATTGTATTCTTAATACAGAAGACAGAGTGTGATCTCTTGGGGACTCTGAGACCAAGATGTCTGGCCTTACAGATAGCACAGTTCTTGAGTGGATCAAAGACTTCTGCTACCACTCCTTCCAGTGTTGTTTGTGGTCCTTCTTCTCTCGCCTCTTCGATCTGTTGTTGTTGGAGGCGAGTTGATATGCTCTCTTCTGTTGCGAGTTCCTCTGTTGACTTTGGCAGCCCATTTCTCCATTGTGAGTGGTAGCTGCTGTTGCTGTTGCGCTGCTGTGCTGCTGTTCGGTCATGATGGTGCTGCTTTTGGCTGAGATAATGACTGCCGAGTGGCTCTCCGGTGGTTCTCCGGTGGTTGATGTCATTGTCGAGGATCGATCGAACAGATCCGAAGAGGAATCCTCGTTTTCGAGTTTTGGGAAAGCAGAAATGGTGACTAGGTAGCACACTAGCTCTGTAATATCTATAAATGGTACGTTAAGTATATTTGAATCTTTGCTGACGCACTTGCTGACATATTAGCTTTGATTAGCTCAATCAGATCACTAGCCTTCTACCGCTTTCACCCGATATTTACAACTCAGGATCTACCCCAGGCCATTAGAAACACCATCATTAGACGTATTCAGAACACTGCCAGGCCCCACTCCTCGTGGACGAACTCCACATATCTATCACAAGGCACTACTCCCGGACCAAGCCCTGCCCTGCCTGGACAATTGTCAAGCCCACACCTGACCCCAATGCTGGATCAAAACCTGGACAATCTCCGGGACTATTCTTTGTCTATTGTCTCTAGCTAGTAACTTAATAAAACATAGTTAGTCTAGCTACTCTTTTCTGATCCGCTGCTTGGGCGTGCCCCCCCGCCCCTTGTTTTTGGGTGCGGTGGGATTCAGGCGACCCGGTTTTTGCGGGTATGTTGTGAAATTATGGGCCGGGGTATCGGCGGTGGTG